CCTACATGCTGTCTCTAAGTGACGCTATTTAAATATAGATAAAAATTAGCAAATAGTTTTTAAAAATCCCCAAAGTTCCCATCTAATTCTTCCCCAAAGTACTTCCCCCCACACTGGATTAATGTCCTATTCTTTAGTATTAACTTCTGCACTCATATTTATTAATTCCCATAACCATAGGCCAAGAGAAGCAAACAAACACTTAGTTAACATTCCCCCTAAAGCCCATGGGGAGAAACTAAGTAAAAGATCCAAAAAGGTTCTCCCCATTGCCTGGTTTTGGATGATTTCTGGAACCAGATAGGAACACAGTTACAATATCTAGGAGATGGAGAAATGTGGAAAATCAATCAATCAATCAATCAATCAGTCAGTCAGTCAATCTTCAGATAATACCCACTTCAAGCAAGAAACTCCTTTAGAACTCTTAAGGATGACATTATACCTCATTTTATTTACTTTATAGATATTGGAGGGGAGCAATTCATAATTAAGTAATTCTAGGAAATCCCCTGAAATTATTAAATGTGAAAGTTTCATGCAATTCCTGGCTCCCCTCCATCTTTTTTCTTTTTTTTGATGGAGGGGAAGGGAGGAGGAAGAACATTTGGAAGTGATAGATGTCTCTTAGCTAATCAAGCTTTCCGATATATCTTAGATTTTAAAGTTTTCCAAAGGCCTACTTTGTTTTTCACAATGCAAAATAACATTTTTATTTCATTAAGTTCTCTTAAAAATATTGCCAGTATTACCAGTAATCATAATCACAGCATCATGTTTAAATGATTTAATGTAAAAATGATTCTTTAAATTATTGATTGTGCTAATACACCAAAAACAAAAACAAAACAAAAAATTATAGAGAATTCTTATCCCTGAGGGCAACTGTAAGTCATTATCCATTACTTACTTGAAACCACTTTCTTCAGAAAACTCCCAATTCCTTCACATGTGTTCTTGTGCAATATTAGTTACCAAATGCTGCAAAACATATACAGACTAGAGGCCCGGTGCATGAACATTCATGCACTGGAGGGGGGTCACAAAGCCTGGCCTGCCCGCTCTCATAGTTCGGAAGCCCTCAGGAGGTGACCCAGTGATCAGGAAAATGTGACACCTCCATCACACCTCTGCTGCTGCCACTGCCAACAGTGCAAGCCGTAGCCGGTCTTGGTTACCTGAGCCTCAGTTGGCTCTGGGAGGCTGGGGGACTGAGGGGACTGGGGGACTCCAGAGGCAGGCATGCAGCAAGGCCAGGCCTGGGCTGGCCCAGCCTTGCTGTGCATCTGCAGCTCCGGAGATGCCATCTTGTGGCTATGGGCGCCGCTATCTTTGAGGGTGGGACAGTCAGTTAGCATATTCCCTTCTTATTGGCTGTGGGTGCCACCATCTTTGCGATGGTGTGAGGGTCAATTAGCATAGTCCCTCTTTATTAGATAGGATATTCATAGAAGTTGAACAAATAGAATCACAATAGCTTATTTCATATATCCATACTTACACCTATATCTATATCCATATCTGTATCTATATAATGTTACAATGACAATTTTATAACTATTTTCCTTCTGAGAAGTTGGAAAGGGTAGGGATATATCCCCCTGAGGCCTCCCCTATAATAGTTACACACAAGACTTTCCCATGGAAGACGGAAGGTGATGGGAAATGGACAGGATTATTCCCAGGTTTTTAACTTTGGTATCTAAATGAAAGGTTGAGCCATTCTCATAAAAAGAGAATCAAATGGGGGAAAGTGAGGGAGAGTCCCAACTTGGACCTGTTGAGTTTGATGCACAAGTAATTGGTCCAGAGTAAAGAGGAGATAATTGCACTGGAAAGGAAGAATCTGGGGTTATCAAAAGCACAAGTGATCACTGAAATCAAGACGGTGAATGTGGTCATTCAGGAGCCTGTGGGTCAGAGGAGAACATCAAGGATGGAGGCCTGGGACACACCAACACCCAAGGGACAAGTAGAGAACAAGAAGCCCAAGGAGAGGTGACAGAGAATGGGGAAAGCAGAGAGAGCTGTGCCACTGACATCAAAGCAAGAGAGAACATCAGTGTCAACTGAAGCAGAATAAATATGAGTTTTCCCAACATAACCTTGTCCGTGAAGGGCATATCAGCCTTTATCTTAATAAGCTGTTGGTATTTCTCATCTTTTTCATATCAGCTATTTTCAGGCTAATTTTAAAAAGTAACCTTTGGACTATGTATCACATACATATTTTGCTAGGGGCGCTGTTACAAATTACCACAGATTTAGTGGCTTAAAAATTACAGAAATTTGCCCAGCCAGTGTGGCTTGGTGGTTGAGAGTCAACCTATGAACCAGGAGGTCATAGTTCAATGCCCAGTCAGGGCACGTGCCTGGGTTACAGGCTTGACCCCTGGTGTGGGGCGTGCGAGAGGCAGCTAGCTGATCAAGATTTTCATCATTGATGCTTCTATCTTTCTCTCCCTCTCCCTTCCTCTCTAAAGTCAATAAAATTACATATATATATATATATATATATATATATATATATATATATATATGTTTAAAAAAGGAAATTAGAATGGTGTACACAATAATTGGATTTTCTGTGGGCACCTGTTGGAGGAGGTCACTGAAAGGAGGTGACGTCCACCTGACCCGGAACCGGACCTAGGCCGTCAGAGGCTCCTCATCTCTCGCTCTGGCCTGGGAATGTATGTCCCCTGTTTCCTTACCAGAAGCCTTCGGAGGGCGCCTTCCCTAGAGACAGTATTACTGAGCCCATCTGGATGGTCTGCTTTACGGAACGCACTGGGGCCTCTGTGGGAACTCATTAGATCCTGGCGGAAGGGTGTGGGGAGGAAACCCTCTGGGCCACTCAGAGCACTCTCCTGGGTAAGTGTCCTCACTTATGAGAACGGCCACTCTCCCATCCGGGGCATGGAGCCAGCTTCTGACTTCACCCCGCATCTCCCCGGGTTTGCCACCAACAACACGGAACTGTTTTGCACCTTAGCTTCCTCCTGTGGTAATCTGAGCCCAAAGTAAGTTACCGCTCCTTTTGCAGACACTGTTCCCTCTCAGTACTGTTTATCTGGCATCTCATCTTCTTGGGGAGGTACCCCTCCCCCTGAACTATTCTACCAAGAAGATAGTCTGTTTTGTTTTTGTGTTTTGTTTTTCTCAGCGAAAGACAGACTCAGAAAGCCTTTCTAACCCGCTGGGGCCTGGCTCGCCCATTTCCACAGCCATGCAGATGGCTAGACAAGGGGCTCCCTAAAACTCTGGAGGTAACGGGAGGGGTGGCCAAGGCCACACATGTATTTACACAAAAGCACCTTTTCTTCGCCATCATCAAATATTTACAATGTGCCGTAGTAGTCTTCATGGCACAGGTAAGTGCACTCAGACATAAAAGAAGGAGTCTTTCCGTGCGAGACACTGGGGAAGAGCAAAAAGTATGGGCAGACACAAAAGTGACATCTGGAAAAGTTGTGACATGACTTGGAGCCATTTGTCAATTCAAGAAGTCACTCTGAGGCATGATTCCCTGCAATCCCTCTCCATCACTTGGTCCCCCTCAAACCCCACAGCCCCTGCCTTCCCTCAGTGATACTTTCCAGGGTCCCCAGACCCCGGGCAGAGCAGGCTCAGCTGACCAGGCACAGCGACCAAGACGGCGACCCCGGAGACCATACCCAGACTGTCCTCCTCGGAACCAGGCTGTCCTCCCCGGGCCCAGGCTGCCTAGAAGCAGCAGAATTAGGGACTCCACACGAGCTCCAAAGTCGATGGGGCTTTCCACAGAGCATCATACCGTCTAAGTACTTCATCTAAGTATGACTCCACTCAGACGAGGTGCCTAAAAGTACACTAATGTTCCGTCGCGCATCCTGACTGTGAGATGTGGGTCTCCGGCATGGACTGTTGGGAGGAAAGGCGGGCCACAGGGGCGCCCAGGGCTCTGTGGGTGGCTGGTTTCTGGGCTGTGGAGGACGGTTCTAGAGGGACAGGACCAGGCGCTGAGCAATCCGCTCACACACAGTTCTCTGAGCGCCAAACCCAGGCCAGGCTCTGCCAGGGGGAGCCACAGGTGGCCACGGGCTCCCTCCTCCCGCTCCCCGGAGTCCTCGCGGGCCTGCCGCCTTCCCCAGAGCCCCGCCGAGGGCACAGGGCTGTGGTCCCCAACGTTCCCCCCAGACCCTCCCCTTCTTCCCACCCGCGCCCGCCCGCCGCCAAGTCCCGGCTGCACCTCGCCGCGCGCAGGGTCCCGTCCTCCCACGGGGCCGGGAGGCGAATTCCTGCGGGTCCCAGGGGTGCCAGGAGCGCCGGCAAGACGGGAAATTGCAAAAGTCCTCGGCCTCGGCCCTCCCCCGCCGTTTTCCCGTAACTCCCGCCCTTCCCTCCGCGCCCGGGCCGCGGCTGATTCATAGCCCGGGCGCCCGGCCGCCTCCCCGGCCTCCCCACCGCGGTGCGCCCGCCGCCCGCCGCCCGCCGCCATCCAGGACCGTCCGGCTCCGGAGCCTCCTCCCGCCGCCGCGGGGTGAGTACCGCCCTCGGGGCCCCTCGGACCGCGGGCCCGGCCGGGACAGTGGCACCGCTCGCCGCCCCCTCGATGCCCCCGCGGGCGCCCCGGTCCGCTCCGCGGGGCAACCGGGCGCCGGGGTCCGCGCCGCTGGCCGCCCGCCTGGTGCGCGGCGCCGAAGGACCGATTCTGTCCGGAGCGCTCGCTGCGGGCCCCCGGGCTCCGGCCCCGCGTCCACGGTCCCATCCCACGGCCGTCCTCCCGTTAAACTTCCCTCCACCCGCTCCCGCCCGGCCTCTCTCCGCCCGCCGCCCGGGGCGCTCCGGGGGTCCCCAACCCGGACAGCTGGTCCCTCCGAGGGACTGATGGATGATTGATTGATTTTCCAAATTTCTCCATCTCCTGAAGATTGTAACTGTGCTCCCTTCGGGTTCCAGAAATCTTCCAACACCAGGCCATGGGGAGAACTTGTTTGGATCTTTTACTTTGTTTCTCCCACGGGCTTTGTGACTCCTGGCTGCCGGCGGGAGGCGCGCACGCAGGTGGAGGCGGCCCAGCGCTGGGTGATGGGATGCCCTGGCTGGGCGCACCCCTCTCCTGCTGACGGCACCGAGTGGTCAGGACGGGCAGCAGGGGCGCCCCTCACCCCCTGAACAGACAGTCCTGGGGACGGAGGGATTGGGAAACTTGTTCAGGCACAGAGCTGGCTGTGGCGGCGCTGACATCGCTGAACCCAGGTCTTCGTTCCTGACTCAGAGATTCATTTCCTGGGAATCCTTCATCCACCCTCCCACACACCCATTCATCCCTCCCGCTCGCCTGCCCCGTGGCGGGAGGCCAGGTGCCACAGAGAAATGCCATTTGGTAGCCGCCAAGTTTGAAGACCCTGAGTGAACAAGCTGTTCTCCAGTCAAGAGGAACAGAGGTAGGGGTGGGTGTAAACGGGCAGGAAAGCGTTGGATAAGGTGCAGTTAATTGGGGATTAAAGGAAAGGGGCTTTAGGGCTTATTCCCCGGGCCCAAAAACCACTTTGGGACTTGGGTCCGGTTATGTAATCGCCTTAGCCTCAGTTTCCTTGCCTGCACCGTACCAATGGCCCCTGCTTCCTAGGGGCCAGGCACTGTTCTAAGTATTTTACATTCGCTTGCTCACTTAATCCTCGCCACTGCGGGAGGTACTAGTTTTGTCCTCCTGTGGCCACACCGCCAGCAGGTGGCAGAGGCAATTTTTGGCTGTGGAGTTTGCTTATCACCACCTTGCGGTGCCTCAGACTTGGGCCCTTTTATAGGACGGGCCAGGGCTGGTGTTTCATTGTTCTTCACTCTGTCTCTCTCTCGGGCAGTTTTAAAATGCGCCCAGAGACCCTTGAGGCTGAAGGGCTTCCAGCGGTCATAGCAGCCAGAGGTTTCTAAATTTAGTTGTGCCTCAGAGTCATCTGGGGACCCTCAGAGCACTGGATGCACTCCCAGAGTCCTCTGGGCATGCCCAGTGTGCTGTCTCCCCCGGTAGCATCCAGTTCTGTTAGGATGCCTGCGGTGGCAGGGAGCTCACCACCTGACATGTCCTTGCTGGACAGAGCTAATTCCCGGCTGTCACTTGCCTCCTTGTGATTCACATGTCGGCCCCAGTTCTGCCTCCTGTCGTCCCAGCAAATGTGCCTACACTCCCGTCACCTTCCTTCAGTCTGGAAGACCAGGACCAGCCACGGGGATGCACGGAGGTGTTCCAGTCTCTGGTCTTGAAAAAGGAACTGAAGCGGGAGAGCCATGTACTGTGGTTTTGAGAAGGGCCAGGATGGAAATGTGTCTGACAAGAGGAAGCCGTGTGCTCTCCGTGGGAACTGGGCTGGGCAGCGCTGGCTCGGGTAGAAGGAAATCTTAGTGTCATCTGGCTCCCGGTCCGGAACGGTGAGCCCTGGCCCTCCCTCCCTGGGGGAGGAAGTCCTCCTGGTTGGAAAATATACGTGAAATAAGGCAAGAAGCTTGGGAGCAACAGCCCTCCCTTGAAGCAGGCTTCCTCGTAGCTACACAAGGCGAGAGTTTCTTCTCCCACAGCTGTGTCCTGGGTTTCCCGGCGGCATTCCCTCCTTTCTCTGAGTTCTACTGGTTTCCAGCGTTTATTTACTCCAGGTTGTCTGCTCTTTTATTTTTACATTTTTAAAGTAATACAGCCCTGGCCAGTGTGGCTCGGTGGGTAGGTATCCCATGCTCTGAAAGTTGCCAATTTGATCCTCACTCAGGGCACATGCCTGGGGTGTGGGCTCCAATAGGGCAAGGGGCATGCAGGAGGCAGCACATTGATGTTTCGATCTCACACAGATCTCTCTCTCTCTCTCTTAATCTTGATATAATTAATATCTTTTAATATCTTGATACAATTAATATCTTGATAATATCTTTTAATAAAAAATACAAAAAATGAAATAGATTCTAATTCAAGCAACAGAGAAGTAAATGAGATGAAATGTACAAGTACCATCAGCACTTCTATTCCCATGCAGAAGCGGGAAGGCTAAGTTTGGAAAACTCCTGTGTTTTCACATGTGTACATGAGATCTTCCTGTACATTGTGCAACTTTTTCGCTCCCAAGTCTTAGAGATCTTCCCACAGCTGTAAGCACCTCTGTTGGTAATGCTACATGACACTCAAAAGTAGAAGTACCCTTTCTCCACCCTTCCCCTTATCAATGGTCCTTTAAAGTCCTTCCGCTTAGCAACAGTGCTTCCGGGGACACTCATGCATCTTGGGGTTAGCCTGAGGATTTCTCGAGATTAGAATCCTAAGAACTATTCTTGCATCAAAGGGTTTGTGCCCTTTTTCACTTGATCGATACAATCCTTCAAATTTCACCACTGCCCCCCGCATGACTACTAATTCAAACTTGATGCATGACAATTTGCTTCCCTCATTCTTCCTAATATTAGCTGTGATCGTTTTCAATTTCAACTTTCAAATCTGGTGAACAGTGAAACCGAAGAAGGCATCCATCTTGTCGAGCAGCCATCACCCACCATCCTTTTCCAGAATTCTTCTCATCTTGCAAAACTGAAATCTCTATACCCATTAAACAGTAACTCCCCAATCCACCCCACCACCTCACCCACTAGCAACCACCATTCTGTATTCTGTCTCCATGAATTTGACTACTGGGTATTTCATCTAAATGGAGTCATACAGCAGTTGCCTTTTTGTGACTTGTTTGTTTCTCTTAGCAAAATGCCATCAAGGTTCATCCAAGTATCAGCACTTTCTTCCTTTTAACACTGACCAATATTCCATTGTGCATCTATGCCACATTTTGGTTATCCAGAATACTTTTAATTACTAGAGGCCTCGTGCATGAAATACATGCATGGGTGTGTGTATGTGTGCGTGGGAGTGGGGGTGTGATCCTCAGACCAGCCTGCACCCTCTCACAATTCAGGACTCCTCTGGGGATGTCTGACTGCCAGTTTAGGCCTGATACCTGTGGGATTGGGCTTAAACCCACAGTTGGATATCCCTCTCACAATCCAGGACTGCTGGCTCCTAACTGCTGGCCAGCCTGCCTGCCTGCCTGATCACCCCTAACTATTCACCTGCCTGCCTTAATACCCCTAACCACTCTGCCTGCCTGCTTGATCACCGCTAACTCCTCTGCCTGCCTGATTGCCCCTAATCACTCACCTACCTGCCTGATCACCCCTAACTGCTCACCTACCTACCTAATTGCCCCTAACCACCTCTGCCTTGACCCCCGGAGCCCTTGGCTTCATCCAGAAGGACGTTTGAAATGACATCCAGAAGGTTGTTCAGCTGTCCGGTCTAATTAGCATATTACATTTTTATTATTATAAATGTTTTGCTGCACAGAAGTTTTAAATGTCTATGTAATCAACTCTATAATCTCATTATTTCTGTGCTTTGTCCAGTTTAGGAAGGTCTTCACCTAAAAATTTATTTAAAAAATTATCTTGTCTTCTAATACAGTATTTTAGGTTTTTACATTTGGATTTTTATATTTACAAAAATATCATATTTTTGTAGAAGGTGAAAAATTAGGGTTAATATTTTTCTCTAGAGTTCTGGGCAGTTAACCTAATAAAATTTATTAATTCATCCATCTTTTTCCCCACTCACTTGAAATTCTGTTTTTATGGTGAAATAAATTCTGATTTATACAAGGGTCTGTTTCATAACTTATTTCTGTTTCACTGATCTTTTTTTTATACTTTCTATGTCAGTATTTCCCTCTGTTAAATTCTATAGCTTTTACAGGGTGTCTTCCCAAAATGGATACACACTTTAACAGCTGACAACTCAATTTTGAAAGTGAAATGTATTTTAATAAACACTACCTCTATGGTTATTCAAAGTGTATGTATACCTTTTTTGGAGGGACACCGTATATTTGTACCTATTTTTAAAAATTTTGAAAGGTCTCTTGTACATTTTCTCTTTTTATTAAACTTTATAGATAGCTTGCCAAGTTTAATAAAATCCCGTTGGGATTTTTCTTAGTATTTTCTTGGATTTATCATTGTTAGTAAAGTATATGATATGCCTTTGTGTACATTCTGGAATGAGCTCTAAGCCTGGAGGAAGCAGCGTGGTGTGGGTGGGGCTGCCCTTTGGGGAGTGACACACCTGGTTTCCAGCTTGTGTTACTATGTCAACCTCTGTCAGAGTTACTTTAACCTCCTTAGCCTCAATGTCCTCATATGTGTGTGGAGATAAAGTCAGAGTCCCTTTCATAGGACTGTTTTGAGAACAAATGCATGTAAATCACTCTGCAAAGTGCCTGGCAGAGACTTAGCTTCCCATGTGCTAGCTGGGATTGTTACCATAGCAGGAAATGGTAAACATTTTCCATTATAAATCGATAGTCTCCGAGGAGACAGAAGTGTGCCGTAAACATTGAATATATCATGTTTCTCAAACTTCAGTGAATCGCTTGGGCAGCTTGTTGAAGTACAGGTTTTTGTTCAGTAGGCCTAAGATCTGACCTAATATTTGCATTTTTAATAGGCTCATGGGTGATGTCAGTGCTCCTGGTCTTTTGTCCACCTTTAGAGTATACAGTCTTCCCCTGATAGTTATGATTATTCTGGTAGCAGTAGTATTTCCTATGAGGATAAGTGTGATGAACAGGAAATATAAATTGCTCTCTTTTAGTTATAATATATGCTAAAGAACTACATTATAGTTGTTTCCTTTCTTCCTCTTTCCCTTCCTTCCTTCCTTCCTTCCTTCCTTCCTTCCTTCCTTCCTTCCTTCCTTCCTTCCTTTATCATCTTCCTCCTTCCCTCCCTCCTCCTCCTCCTCCTCCTCCTCCCCCCCTTCTTCCTCCTCCTCCTCCAAGAAAAGAGGGTTAGTGAGAACACTGAATATAACAGCAAGTTCTACTCTTAGATCTGAAATCTTTGATTGAAGGTTGTGGTTGGAGGAGTCCCACGTTGGGCCGAAAAGGCTTGTCTTGAGTGGAAGCAGCTGGGGGGTGAGGGCTTGGTGTGAATGTGCAGATGGTTCAGCGGTGCAGCCCGGAGGCTGAGTCAGCAGGGCTCCTGTGGGGGGTCCTCCTGAAGGCACACCCAGGCACAGCAGCACAGTCACCACACTTCTCTTCCAGAGATGGTTTCCTGTGCACTCCCGTCCTTGCTTTTCCATGTGGTACATTTTGGACATTCTTCCATGTCAGTTCATGTATTACTTCATTCTTTGTAACAGTTTCAGAGTATTCCTTTGTAAAAATGAATAATTATATATTATACCAGAGGCCTGGTGCATGAAAGTCATGCAGTTGGTGGGGGCCCTCAGACTGGCCTGCGCCCTTTCAAAGTCTGTGAGCCCTCGGGGGATGTCCGACTGACGGCTTCGTGGGGAGCGGGCCTAAGCCGGCAGTTGGACATCCTTAGTGCTGCTGTGGAGGTGGGAGAGGCTCCTGCCACCACCGCTGTGCTCACTAGATGTGGTGTTGTCATATGCCAAGGCTGTTTGCAAGAAAGGGCCACGCTGTTCACCCAGCACACGTGCGGATGTGCCCCTGGAGAGAGAGGCCGCAGTATGAAACCCAGGAGTGACACAAATACAGATGCCACACTGATCACCTGCTTTAAAGACACTAGTGCTCTAGCTGGACCAACAACCAGCAGAACAGCAGCTTCAACATTTAGGGAGAAGGGTCCCCATCCTTATTATGTAAGAAGCCCTTAGAAGTCAAGAGAAAGAAAAGACAGGCACCCGTGCAGGAAACCTGGCAAAGCGCATGAACATGTAATTCACATAAAAGAAGGAACTATTAAGAACCAAAGGAGAAGAAAGGAAAACCGGACACTATCCCTGATAATTAAATAAATGAAAATTAAACCAGCAATCGTGTATGTCTCTGAGTAGTGTTCTATTGGGAAGTTCAAAAACATTCTTGAAATCTAGCGTGGGTTGGCGTTTGAAGAAGCAGGCATTGTTACTCACTAATGGTCAAAAAGTATAAGTTTATCACTGTCAATCTGGCACTATCTAATAAAATTTTAGTATGCATTACCTTTATTCAGAAAGATTATTTGTAAAGTCTTGTGCTATAGATAGTATGTGTGTGTGGACTTTGTAAGTAGAGACTTTAGAGAGCCATGGGTGGTCTGTCGGCCAAATGCAAGGAGCAGAGAGCCGTGCTTCAAAGAATGTGGACAAAGCTTGTCGTCTCTACGGACTTCCGCTTCCGTTGCCATTGGGCTCAGCTCACCTGTAGGCAGGTTTGACAGCAGTGGAGTATGTAATGTTTGGTTTACCCGGTCTTCACTGTTTATTCCATTTACCTGTAAATACTATTCAAAAATCACTAGAGCCCGGCGGTGGCCCCCAGTGGTTGAGCATCAGCCTATGAACCTGGAGGTCATGCTTCGATGCCTGGTCAAGAGCACATGTCTGAGTTGTGGACTCCGTCCCTATTAAGGGATGTGCAGGAGGCAATTGATTGATTCTCTCTCATCATTGATGTTTCTCTCTCTCCCTCTCCCTTCCTCTGAAATCAATAAAATATATATTTTAACTAGAGAGTGTGGGTAATGAGAATTGGTGGTCTGTTCATTGACTCTCCAGAGTTTGCTGAAAGCCCGGCGGCCAGACAGAGGCGGATTCTGACCCTGCACTGTCCCAGTGCTTCTATCCATGATGAGTCAGATGTGAAGGAGAAAAGGGAAAGTCAGTGCTTCCTCTAACACACTTATGACTGAAGTAAGAGCACACTGACCTCTCGGTATCACCCAGGCTCGCCCTCGTGCCCTGATTAGCCTGTGGTCAGAGGCCCTGGTGAATTAAGACACTCTGTGGCCGCAGTTAAAACCCTCTCCGAAGGCCAGGGGAACAGGAACTTGTTAGGAACAGTGAAGCGCAGTCTCCGTAGGTGGAATGTGTTCGCTCTTCCCAGGTGTGACTTTACTGAGGGAGGCGGGGAAGCAGACAGTGAGTTCCTGATAAGTAGTTCAAATTCAGCCCTGTTGAGACTGGACTTCATTCTTTCTAACCAGTAGGTCTTTTATATTTGACTTCTGTTTCCCTGCTTTGCCCTTCTTTAAAATATATATATATATATATATATATATATATATATATATACACACATACATATATATATATATATATATATATATGTGTGTGTGTGTGTGTGTGTGTGTGTGTGTGTGTGTATGTCATTTTTTTTTAATGATTTCAGAGGGGAGGGAAAGAGAGAGAAACATCAATGATGAGAGAGAGCCATTGATTGGCTGCCTCCTGCATGCCCCCTACTGGGGATCGAGCCCACAACCCAGGCACGTGCCCTTGACTGGAATTGAACCCGGGACCCCACAATCCACAGGCCTACGCTCTATCCACTGAGCCAAACTGGTTAGGGCTGCTTTGCCCTTCTTGGAAGAAATTGGTGGGTAAGTTAGCTCCTGCCACAGAGTGTGAGTGGCAGACAGCATTGCTCTCCAGTCTGGGATCAGCTGGTGATGGCTGGGTGTGGTGGGCCTCTGGGTGAGCTGGGCTGGACTGGCCCAGCTGGGGTGACTCAGCTCTGCTTCCTGGTTGCTCATTCTCTTCCTGGGTCCAGTGGGCTAGCCCTGAAATGTTCTTCTCATGCCAAAGGTGGGAAGGAAGAAGAGCAAGCAGAAATCATATGTCTCTCTGGGCCTCGCCTCCAAAAGCACCCCATCCCTCTGGCCTCATTCTGGCCAGAGCAAGTCACGTGAGTGGGGACACATGCCCTTCTTGTTGCGTGGGAATCCAGAGTCACATGACAATGGGTGTGGGCACAGGGAGGAGAGAAGAATGGCCACTTTAATGAATGCCATCCTCTACCACTGTTGGCTCAGAGAAACTCGCCCGAGCCAAAATTACATACAATTTTCTTTCCTTGTGGTTTATGTTTTTCAGGAAGCCAGGATCTATGGCGCCCGTGGCAGTCTTTCAGGCAGCATTCCTCTTGGCATGGCTGCCTCTGAGCACTTACCAGAGCCAAGCAGGTAAGTGGCAAGCACAGTCAAGAGAACAATCACACAGACAAAAGGAGATAATTGGCTGCCTCGAAAGAGAGTTGCACAATTCTCTTTTCTTTGGAAATTGCATGGAACTGGTGAGCAACCAGTTACCTTAATCATGAGCTGCCTGATCTTGATGACTCATCTTACTGAGCCACCCTTGACCCTGAGCTCCTGGCCATGGGGCCTTTGCCAGGACACCTAACCCTGCACAACTTCACGGCTGATGCGTTGGAAATGGCCATCACCAGAGTGAGCTCTCTGCACCTCGCTGCTGCGGAGAGGCAGGGAGCTGCCCGGCGCTGGCCACCAAGTCAGAACACGCCTGTGCCCCTCGGCCACGTTCACCCAGAAGCTGTGAGCTGCCAGACAGCCCTGCTCCGTGCTGAAATGCTCTGTGTGGATTTAAGAAAAGCGTTTGTCACTTAGCTACTTCCCCGGGGAGGGTACTTTGAAATACATTAACTTTATAAACAGAGTCAGTAGGAACTCAATTCCTCTAAAATGTTTATGGGCGCTCGTTGAAGCAGTTTGAAGGCGGATTCTTTGGGCTGAGAGCATTTCCGTTGGTTTGTAAAGTGTGTGTTGCTTCCTCCTGTATTTTACAAAGCTCTGATTGTTCTGTTTGTGAGCTTACTTTTCTCTGCACGCCCTCCTAAGACAGAGGAAGGCACATGCTCTCTGTCACTGCCCTGGCAGCTCCTGTCCATGGATTCATGAAGAAGACATTGGCGGGAAATATCCATAGAATTCTGCAATTTTCCCTTAAAACTGCATGAAAAGATATTTGGAAATTTTAGAAAGGGAGATTTTGTTCTGATGAGAACTCCGTAGGTGGCTCTGTCTTCTGTCTGAGGGTCTTTAGGTCTGGCTTGAGTTCTTTCAGCTTCAGAGCATGTGGAGAAATGCCACTTTCGAGGCTTGTTAAAAATCATAGTCTGACTGTGGGTGTCTGTCTTCCCTAATCTGGAGTGAACAGTAGGAACCAGGAATTCTTATCTGTAGTATGTCTCCCCCTCCCCCTACCTCACGAATATCTCAGGGTGACCCAGCTGGCCCAGGTAACCTCCGGAGAGTCCCAGGCACTTAGCCAAGCCTCTGCACCACACTTCCCTGGCAAGTTCATTATCTGACCCCGGCTATTCGCTGTGTGCCTTCTCCTCACAGACCTCTGCTCTCTGCTCCCTCTCCACTCCCATTGTTTAGACCAGAAGTGCGCATGCCTGTTCCTCTCCCACCAGCCGCGTTTCTGCCTCCAGCTTTCTCAGCCGGGCATGCCCGCATTGCTAAGGAATCCTGTGTTCGTCCTCACCTGCACTGCTTGCATTTCTCGCCTCCATTTCTGCTGCATCTGACCCAGTACCTACTAAGGCTCCCACTCATGCTAGTGTCCTCCCACCGGATCACCCACCATCTCTGGTGTGAGCCTCCTTTTCAGATAAAGTAGCTTCTCCTGGACAGAGGGCAGGGCCAAGGCTTACTGCATTAGCCCTAGCCCCGGGCTCATGTCTGCATCACCAGAGACCAGGATGGAAGCCTCTGGATGTGTTTTCTTCCAGTCTCCTGTGTGTCTGTACACAGAGACAGAAGTAAAGATGTAAATGTGTAGGCTTTTTATAGAAGTGAAACTATGCTATTTATACTGGGAATATTTATACTTAAGTGTGTGTGTGTATATATCCTATCTAATTAAAGAGTAATATGCAAATTGACCATCACTCCAACACAAAAGATGGCTGCCCCCATGTGGTCACAGATGGCTGCCCCTATGTGGCCACAAGATGGTCACCACAAGATGGCCAGCAGGGGAGGGGAGTTGGAGGAAACCAGGCCTGCAAGGGAGAACAGTTAAGGGCAAACAGGCTGGCAGGGGACATACACCCCCTGTGCATGAATTTCATGTACCGGGCTTCTAATATATAATATTAGAGTACATATACTTATGTTAAATATATATACTTATTAAAGCACATAGAGTATAGAGTATATATTATGTATAGCTTAAGTATGTATACTGGGGAAATATATTCTATACAGCAGGGGGGAAAGTAGGCTTACAGTTGTTTGAATGGAAAAATATATAGTACAAGAGTAAATAATAGAAAAATAAACTCTGTTGCATGTACTCACAGCTGTAGGCCTACTTTTGCCCATCCCTGTATACTTATGAGTATACGTACTTTAATACAGTATATCCTTATTAAGATGATTAACTTAACATACAATGAGTTTTTACCTTTGAGCTTAAATGTTCTTCTAGAAATCACATTATATTAAATGGCTGCATCCCATTCTGTGAATGGACCATGGTTTATTTCCTTAAGTGATGTCGGGACCAGCCAGACAGAGAGACTGCTTGGGAAGGTGGGAGGAGCGGCTGTGATTGAACCAGGTCAGTCTGATTCCCAAGCCTGCCGTTCTGGCCGTACTCCAGGGCAGCGTTAGGGAAAGAGCACTGGGCCCAGGGCCAAGGGCCAAGGACCTTGAGTTCTGGTCAAGTTGTGCGGTTTTGGGAAAGTCACTTCCTTTTTTTTTTTTTCAAACCTCAATTTCCTCTTCTGAAAAACAATGAAATTTGACTTAATCTCTAAATCCCTTTAGCTCTCAGACTTCACCTTGGCCTTTCCCACTCTTTACCCAGGAAGTCCTAGATAGCTTTTGACCACATTTACTTTGACTGATTGATGTCTCTCTAGTATTTGAGTCACTCAGCACTTGCTGATGCATATGCCAGTCTACGGACTTCCCCTTCCGTCTAACACATCATCCAGTAGCTTTCTAGAGTTTCCAGAACTAAAGCTGATACTGGTAGTGAACTGGCTCAGTCAGCAGCCAGTCACTGAGTGTCTGTGCTGGGATAGGTGTGGTAATGGTCTTGGCTTCACTGAGCTGAGTAAGTCTTGGTCTCACCCCTGTTTAGCTCGCAGTCTATGGAGAGACAAAGACACAACAGACTTTGACAGCGCCTGTGATCAGTGCTCAAACAAGGGCCTCTTGAAGCAGCCACGGGGAGCAGAGAGCACCGGGCAGGACTCATCGAGGTGTTAGTGAGGAATGGCTTGTCAGGCACCGGAGACCTGGTGGAGATCCTGGATCTCTGCCATTTGAGATCAACAGGGGCTATGAGTAAGACATTATGCCAAATGCTGGGGACAAGAGTCCATCCAAAGACACATAAGCATCAACCTCCATCCTTCAGGGAATTTGAATCTAGAGTGAGACCAACAACAACAAACAGGAAAAATGAAACGAGGGCTCGTAAAAATGGGGGCATTTTGCATGCACTCTGCTTTCTCTGGTGCCATTGGCTCCACAAGGATTAAAATCATGCCTCCCCCTCCCCACCCAGTTCCATAAGAGGCCAGCTCTTTCATCTTGCTGAGTCTCCTTTTAATTAGAAGAATGAATGCTTAGAAGGTATGTAACTCCCCCCCTCAGGGCCTATGCTGGGGACAAGATTCCATCTAAAGACACATAAGCATCAACCTCCGTCCTTCAGGGAATTTGAACCAGGTCAGTCTGAACTGGCTGTTTCCTGAGCCCACTGGCCTCTGCAGGTATGATTCGTGTTTGAAACTCTATTCTTTCACAGACTCAGTTACACCACTAACCTCTCTAAACCAGCAGTCTCTCATTATTTCAAGGCTCGTTCCTTGAGCTAGGAACCTCGTCACGATTATTTCACACCAAATGCCTCCTATGTTGCTGGTGCTGCTCTCCTCCAAAAAGTTCAGTAAATTCGTGCCAGAGGTGTTTTAAGTTCTGTGCATTGAAATGAGCTATTTCCCACTTCATAGCTATATAATAAACAACAAAATATTGACTTTGAAAACAAGCTTTCATTTTTGATTTCCAGAAATATGACATGGATAGCAACTAGTCCTGTTGTTCAGCCTTGCTGTAAAATTCCAAGCCAGTTATATTGTCCAATGATGTGTCCTTTATTGTTAAATAAATCTGTGCAATTTGTTTAATTTAGTTGTTATTTACTAGAGGCCCAGCCTGCAATTGAAATCACTTAATAGGAGTAGGATTGAACAGGAGAGGAGGCGCCCTGCCTCCCGCCGTGTGAGGAGGCACCCCAAGGGAGGCTGGGACCTGCGCCTGACTCACAGCATCCCTGGTCCTCCTCCTGTCCAGTTATGACCCGTTACAGCACCCCAACCTAATTTTCATATTACCTCTTTGAGGTAATAGACTAGTGGCCTAGTGAATGAAATTCTTGCATGGAGGGGTGTGTCCCTCAGCCCAGCCTGCACCCTCTCCAATCTGGGACCCCTACTGGATCAGGCTAAACAGGCAGTCGGACATCCCTCTCATAATCCAGAACTGCTGGCTACAACTGTTCACTTGCCTGCCTTCCTGATTGCCCCTAACCACTTATGCCTGCCAGCCTGACCACCCCCTAACCATTCCCCTGCCAGCCTGATTAATGTCTAACTGCTCCCCTGCCAGTCTGTTTGCCCCTAACTGCTCTCCCTTGCAGGCGTGGTCACCCCTAACTGCCCTCTCCTGCAGGCTTGATTGCCCTCAACTGCCCTCCCTGCAGGCTTGGTCCCTCCCAACTGTCCTCCCTGCTGGCCATCTTGTGGCGACCATCTTGTGTCCACATGGGGGCAGCCATCTTGTGTGTTGGAGTGATGGTCAATTTGCATATTATTTTTATTAGATAGGATTGTTTGTATTATTTGTTTCACTGTTTATCAATATATTAACTTGCTGTGTATCATTGATCAAGCAAATCATCTCATTCACGTAAGTCTTACTTTCTTAATCTCCAAATGATTTCTAAACTCCCAGCTTTTCAAGGTGTCTGACTTTAGGATGCTCATATGAGCTGTACCTTTCAAAGCTGAACACATGATGTTGAACAATATGGACCTGTGGCTGTTCAATCCTACTCCTATTAAGTGTCATTTTGTGTCTCGTTTTGGTCTTTCAGTCTTGTCCGAACCTTTATCGCTGAGTGTGCACGTCAATCTCACAGAGCAGAGTTTGAAAATAGAATGGAGTGTCCATAACCTGACTCATCCGGAATTACAGATGGCTTTTCAGATCGAAATCAGTAGAATTAACAAATCCAATGTCATCTGGGTGGTAAGTTTTGTTTTGACTCTATATTTTAAAAGTCCTTTTCTGGTGTCATGAGTTTTCCTTTATAATATACAGAAAACCCCAGGATGGAAACACATTAGCAACTCAAAACAGCGTTCCTAAACAGCCGCATTTTTGTGTTTTTAGTGAAGAAGATCGGGGACAAAGTGAAATGTGACAATTTGGTTGGGCAGGTTGGATGGGATGCATGAATAGCTCACGTCTTCCGCCCTGCTGGGCCCCTCAGAAGTGTTAGGTCAGTCCCAGTGAGTACTGACTCCCAGTCTATGAAGATCAACCAGCTTAGTCCTCTTCCGGTTCCACCAGAGATTTTGTAAACGAGATGTCATTTTGGCAACTTTTTCTTGCCAGTGTGGCTTCCAGTCAGTCTTTGCTTGCGCTGTGCTGACAGGTAGGAAGAATGAGTCTGGCGCCTTCGTGTTCTGGCCGGAAAGCACTCCATGGCGGCCTTGGTTACATCCCAGGTGGCTTTTCCGGTAACAAATTACGAGAAGAAAATCCTGGTGCCGCACTTTTGCTTTTGCATTTATTTGCATAGATTTTGCCTTGGTCTTGATTCCTATCACGGTTGTGTCTGATTTGCCTGATGCTTCCTGGTCTAGTGCAGCGGGCACTTTGGTGGTTTCTTTCAATGGTCCTTGATGGTCTGGGCCACCTACATAACCTGTTGGTGCCACTGTTCCCTCATTGTCGGGGGGGGAGGGGGGGGGAAGAGGACGGTGGGATGTTTTCTCGTTGGAGGGGAGTGGAGGAGCTGCCTGGAGAGAAGGCAGACACAGGACATGTCGTTGCTGGGACCTCCATCTACTCAGTGCAGGGCCACTCCTCTAGGGCCGTGGAGGTCTGGGTCCTGGGCTCTTGGGGAGGGAAGGCCTCAGCATTTGCCAGCTCCAGGCTGTGCGCCATGCCATTGCCCCCCCCCCAAAACACACACACACTGCAGGGGTGCCACTGGACGCAGGGCCTTGGACGCAGACTCGGTTTCCCCAGGGAGCGCCAGGGGGTTGTTGCCTCCATCTCCCAGCGGTGGGGCCAGAATGCAGGTGTCTGGAGGCCCGCTGCATGGACGCCTGGAGCCCCGGTGTGTGGAGATAGCAGCACCCCCCCCCTCCCCCCTTGGGGCCAGGAGCCAGGAGCACAGCCACAGGCGGATGCAGCAGCTCGCACAGCGTTAGGAGAGCAATCAGAGGAAAGAGCATGGAAGGCTTCCTGAAGCGGTTGGGGGGGGGGGGGGCGGCGCTGAGCCCACACGGAGGTGGGAAAACAGCGAGTTATTCCAGAACGGGGTGGGCCGCTGTGCCCAGAGAGGATTCCTGCAGGGGGAGGCGGGTGGGGGTAGATTGCAGAGGGCCTGGAATGACGGGTGAGGTGCAGAGCAGTCCCGGAAGCCCAGTGACTTAGAGCAGAAAGTCCCAGTGTCTCAGGAAGCTGAAGACGGAGGCTGTGCGGGATGACCAGCTGCAGTCCTGGGTGGGCGAGCCTCCTGTGGAGCAGTGCGGGCCAGTCCTGGTGGCTGACATCTCTGGGAACTAAGAGTTGACAGATGGAGCTTGAGGGAGGGGATATGGGCCATGTGGCCACCATCTCTGAGAAGAGAAGGGACAAAAATCTAGGGGGACACGGGGAGCCATCTGTTGATCTTTGGGAGACCTTTGAGCTCCCGGCTCCATGAGAATTGTTTTCCCTACCGAGACTTGGCTGAGTGATCAGGCCCTGGCCTAAAAGGAACACGAAACCATCCCCATCCATCTCGCTTACCTGGAAAAGCTCGACTCAAGTAATTCTCTACTAGTGGGCAGTTTTCTTAGCAGGCCCTGTGTGTCCAGCACCGTGAGCACTGCATCTCTGGTCTCTCCCTCCAGACTTGAGCTGCTTCCATTTCCTCTCACTTGCTCCACTCGGGCCCCCTGGAGTGGGAGATCCAGAGCGGTGGGAGCCGAGGTTTTTGTTTTTGTTTTTGTTTTTTTAATATATATATATATATATATATATATATATATATATATATATATATATATATTTATTTCTTCCATAGAGGAAGGGGGAGGAATAGAGAGTTAGAAACATCGATGAGAGAGAAACATCGATCAGCTGCCTCCTGCATACTCCCCACTGGGACTGTGCCTGCAACCAAGGTACAAGCCCTTGACCGGAATCGAACCTGGGACCCTTAAGTCTGCAGGCTGATGCTCTATCCATTGAGCCAAACCAGTCAGGGTTGGGAGCTGAGTCTTTGAGGAGCAAGAGGCTCTTGGCCATTCCTCGCTGAGTGGTCGGAGCAGGGGGAGCTGGCTGGGAAGGATGGCGGGTCCGGCTCATGCTGTGGAGTTGCGAGGGGTGGGGTATGCTTTGGGATAAGTCCAGGCAAGCCCTTTCCCAGGACAGCGTGGCTGCATTCCCAACTGTTTCTCCCTCTTCCAGGAGAACTACACCACCACTGCGCAGCAGAACCAGACCCTGCGCCGGATGTGGAAATCCGAGCTGCCTCTGGAATGTGCCACGCACTTTGTAAGGATACGGGGGAAGGATGAAGATCCTCGGATGCTCCAGCGGAGGGTCTGGAGCAGCTGGAGCTCATGGGTGAAGGCAGAGGGTAAGAAGTGAGGTGATGCCCTAGTTGTTTGGCTCAATGGATAGAGAGTTGGCCTGTGGACTGAAAGGTCCCAGGTTCGATACAGTCAAGGGCACATGCCTGGACTGCAGGCTCATCCCCATTGGCGGGGGTTGGGGAGAGAGTGTATAAAAGACAGCCGATCAATGATTCTCTCTCTCCTTTCCTCTCTGAAATCAATAAAAATGTTTAAGAAAAAAAAAAAAAAAAGAAGTGAGGCGATGAAAGAGTGAGTTTAATGTAATACCATTTGGGGATCAATAGCCCAGTGTGAAGGTCCTCTGTGAGGCACTCGGAGGACACCAGTCATTTCCTTTGGCTCCCAGTGGAACTAACAAGCTTACTTCCCATTGGAGCGAACAAGCTGGGTGTTGGCTCCAGGAGAGAGATGTCCGAGATTGGGCCTCTGAATCTATCCATTGAAATAATTATGCAAATCCAGACCATTTTTATTTAATTTCTAAATGTGTATGGAAGGCTAAGGGAACCAAGCAGAACACAAGCTGTACATGTTTGTATTGGAACGACACACACAATGTGTGTGCAGATCTGCCACTGGGTCTTTGGTGCAGTCACAGGCAACATGGAAATCAATGACGGTGATTGTTTTCCAATAAAACTTTATTTACAAAAACAGATGGTGGGCTGGCATTGACCCCATGGTTAGTTTGCCAGTACCTTTAACGAAGAGAGAAGGGAGGGACATATGGAAAAATGAAAGCAATTTTTTAGTAATGAGACTGTAAATAACACTTTAAATATCACTTAATTTTGATAATTTAACTTTGTTGTAATTAAAATTTACAGTGGGTATGCCACCATTTCTTATGATTCAGCTAAGCAATGTCATTTGGTTCTCTCAACTATATATCCTGCCAAGTTATCTGGAATGCCGACCCACAGAACCATTTCTTTGTTAAGTGTTTATGCCGGTCTATGAACTCAAATGGATAACACATTAACCCATGAGTAGCCTACGGGTTAGTTTAATACTAAATAATAGAATTAAATCTACATTCTTGTCACTGTTTTAAGCACTATACACACTGAGTCCTCACGCCTGCACATCTGCACATCTGTCAGCTTCATAGGTGAGGAGACTCACTGTGTTACAAAAACCCAGACAAGGTCATCAGTCCACGAAGGGGTGTAGCCATATTCCAACCCAGACCACTGAGGCCCAGAAACCCAGAAACCATTGCATCCTACAGCAATTAAAAAAAAAAAACAGTAATGAGAATGAACTTTATAAACAACATCTATTTTGATTTAAAAAAAATACACTATATTTCTCCAAACTATTATCTCCAAACTAACTCAAGATAAAGGGGAAACCCTGATTATTCCTAACCCCCAATGCACTGGTTCCCAACCATGGTCACACGTTACAATCACCTGGGGACCGTAAAGCACACCCACGCTAGGCACTCCGCACGGGTGACATAGCGATGGAAACTGGGGTGCCTCCCAGGCCAGCGGAGGGACTGGGGTGGGCTTGGGAGTGGGGGGAGGGACTCTGAGCAGTGGTAAGCGCAGGCAGCTCTCCAGGGAGGCCAGCTGTGAGGGCCGGTGGGGAGCGCGCTGCTGCTGCTGCTTACAATGGGAAAGCCAGGAGCTCTTACATGCAGGTGGCTTTACACAGGGAGGGGCTGGTGCACAGGGAGATGGCTGAGAGGCTGGCATTTCCGAGGAGGCAGGAGGCAATGTGGGGCCAGTCCAGGTTAGAGATTGTGCAGGACACGGCTGTGGGGCTGGCCAGACCTAACGTGTGTGGCTGTGGCTTTGCTCCTCAAGTGAACTTGGGCTCCGTCCTGCCTAACCTCTGGCTGGGAAGGGGGAAGATGGCCTGAGGTAATGGACATACCACTCAAGACAAGGCCTCCCACCCGCCAGGGGCACGGCGCAGGCCATGGTCACCCCCATGAGCAATGACCCAGCAGTCCTCAGAGGCCACAGTACAGGGGTCTGGACACTGGGAGCCTGGCACCTGGGACTGTGTTGTGTGCACCCACATTCCTAGGTTTGCTGTGGAGATGGAGGCCCCTGTCTCCTCCAGAGGCAGAGCAGCTAGCATCACTGCGGAGAGCGAGACGGGAGGGGCCGTTTGGATTCTGGGTCTCTTTCTCACCGCGATGTCTTCTCTCCTCTTGCAGCTCAGAGTTTGCTTGGACCAGAGCCGCTGCTCGTTTTCCCCAAAGAGAAGCAGGTGGAGGAGGGCTCCGATGTCACCCTCTGCTACGTCTCCCGGCACCCCCAGAGTCATGTAGTCTGTAAGTTGAATGGCATCCTGGTCCCCGGAGAGCAGCTGGACCCACACGTGTCCGTGGTCACCTTGAGGAGCATTTCCTTTGTTTCGAAAACGGGGTCCAACTTCTTCTGCGAGGAAGACAGGAACCACACCCAACCGGGCCTCGCCATCTTTGTCACCAGTAAGCATGTGCCATGTCCCCGCCCTCTCCCCACCTCCTGAGGAACCGGGTCCCCTTCACCAGAGCACGGTCCACATTTCCCCTCGTGGTCCAGTTTCCCTGGCCTCCCCAGTCTCCCAGGAGGGACTGGGGAAGGGAACCCTGGAGCAATCCCAGCAGGACTTCCTGCCACGCCTGGTCCTTGCTGGCATTGGATGCTGGAAACCAAGAATGTTAGGGGAGAGAGCTCAGGTCATGACCTGAAGACATCCCCATTGCCTTCGCCCCAAGGCAGCGGGGTTGGGGTCCAGGTACTGGGGTTGACTCCCATGCTGGGCCTGCCAGGTGGACCAAATTCATTCCTTCCTTCCTTCCTTCCTTCCTTCCTCCTTCCCTTCCCCCCCCCCTCCCTCCCTCCCTCCCTCCCTCCCTCTCTCTCTCTCTTTCTTTTTAAATGTACCACCTATTTTATTTAAGAATTTTTAAATTCCAGCTCATTTTTTAAAAATTACTGATTTTAGAGAGGGGAAGGGAGAGAGAGAGAAACACCGATTTGTTGCCCCCCCCCCCCTATTTATGCATTTATTGGTTGATACTTGTCTGTGCTCCGAATTTCTTAGCCTCTCTGAGCTGGAGTCTGCCCCTGGGGAGGGGGCGATGACAGCTGTGAGAGGATTAGTGAAGCGGAGGGGCTGGCCCTGGGCTGCTGGCTGCACACAGTAGGGGCTCAGCACGCAAGGCCATCACTCCCATCACCCGGTGGGCGGCCGCGGGAGGAGGGAGCACTGGGCTTTCCGTAGCTCTGTGTGCACACGTCGTCCATCCCGCGGCTCCTCTGTTCTGTCTTGAGCCGGCTGTTCCCTCACATCAGGGCAAGCTCTGCCGCTGCACCCTTGCCGCTTCCCTGACAAGGCCTCCCGGCTCCTGGGCTCCCGGGCCCTTGGTTTGTGCTCCTCGGCCTGGCCTCTTCGGTTGGGTGGGCAGCATTCTGGCGCTCTCAGCTCCCGGCTGCTGGTAGCAGGTTTACCAAATCTGACCCATTTCCTGGCAGCCCAGGGGTAACCCCAGGCTCTCTGTCAGCCCCGGCTTCCTTCCAAAATACAGCACCAGGCCACTCTGACTTGCTTCTTTCACTCTTTCACTACCTTGCTCTGTGGCTGAGCAGCCCTAAAGGAGCGCCTAGCAGTAGGCCCGGGCGTGCAGCATCCATCCAACACACTCGGGGCTGCAAGCAGCACACAGGCCATCCGTACCCATGATTCCCATCATACCCACCCATGCCCATGATGCCCACCTGTGCCCACAATGCCCTCTCGTGCCCACAATGCCCAACTGTGCCCACGATGTATGGAAAACCAAGGGGGGGAGGGAGGAGACGGGCCAACATGATGCGGTGCCGGAGTGTGACTGTTGGGGCCGCCTGCGTGCTCCTGGAACACGTCCACGCGAGGCGCCCTTTGGCTGTGAGACCCACGCAGACCTCCGCATTGTGTTTGCCTCTGACTCACGAGGCCTCCGTCTGTCTGTCTTTCCTTCCGGGGACAGAAGTGCTGGAGGAGCCCAAGGGCTTCTCCTGTGAGACCCGGGACTTGAAGACTCTGAACTGCACATGGGACCCTGGGAGCAACATTGACTCTTGGAAATTCCCCTGCCAACGCTACACTTTATTTGAATCGTAAGTGAGCCCTCCTTACATTATTGACAGATCCGGCCTCGTTTGAGTCCTGGTGACAACACATCAAAGGCCGGGGTTTAGATGTTGCGCAGATTTGAACAGATGTTTTAAAGCCGCCCTGCCAGTCCTAGCAGGTCTGAGCTGGTTGCCGTGCCCAGCGCATCAGACCCGAGTGCCGTCAAAGGGAAGTGTAGCGTCAAAATGACAAGACAGACCATGAATGGTTCATCTTTTTTTTTTTTTTTAAATTTCTTTATTTATTAAGGTATCACATATTTGTCCTCATCCCCCCATTCTTATCCCCCACTCCTCCCCATGCATGTCCCTACCTCCCTGTTGTCTTTGACCACTGGTTAGGCTCACATGTGTGCACACAAGTCCTTTGGTTGATCGCTCCCCTTTATCCCCACCCTCCCCTACACTCCCTCTGAGGTCCGACAGTCTGACCCATGCCTCCTTGTCTCTGGGTGAATGGTTCATCTTGATGTGAAGATACTTCCATCCTTTTTAGTCAGAGTTCCAGCTGTGTCTACCTCACGTCCAGCTTTTTAAGACGATCCGAAGGGAATGAAGGGGGTCTCCCAGGAGTCGGTGGCTCCGCCCCCTATTTCACCCCAAAAGCCGAACTTGCGGAAGCAGTGTTTCGGCAGCGGGGGGTGGGTGGTGATGGATGGACGGACGCGCTCATGGGGAACACGGTTGTAAAGCCACTGAGCATCCCCGAGGGAGCCCGGGGTGCACTTCCTCCTGGACTGGAGCCTAAACCCTGGGACTGTGGTTTTGTTTTTTAGATTTTCCGGGGGAAAAAAATCCTGTAAAGACAAACACTGGTGTTCTTGGCAAGTAGACTCACAAGAAACATACAACTTCACACTCCAGGCTGAAAACTGCTTCCGGAAGAGGAATGTCACTCTCCTCTTCCAACTGGCGCACCGAGGTGAGGCCAGAGCTGCCGCGGCCATGGGTGTCTCTGTTTGGCACAGGGCGGGGTGGTGAATGTGTCACATCCTAAGCGAAAGTTACCCTTTAAGGTAGGGGTGTCGAACTCAATCAGAGAAGGGGCCAAAATCTAAAATCCAGCCTAAATCGCGGGCCGAATGGTTTACTGAACAGTCATAAACTGTCATTGTGATGGAAACGCAGCGGAGTGCAGTGATGACAGTGCGGTGCGGGCCACATTGCAAGGCCTGGCGGGACGGATTTGGCCCGCGGGCCTTGTGTTTGACACATGTGCTTTAAGGCCTCTCTTCGTGGACACATGCATGGCCCACGGTCCCCTCTTACTGGTTGGTTTGAAAATGTAAAAGCACCTGTGAGCTTACCCCTCAACCACACAATGAGGACGGTGATGACGCGTTATTCGTGTCAGTTCGGTCATTCTGCTCATTCCGGTTCCTGTTTTGGCCAGACTCTGTGTTCTGTTACGTTCTCCCCACGGACTGCTTCTTCGCGTTCAGACGCCCCTCCTCCATCTGCCCAGTTTATTTAGTTGTAGGAGTCCTCAGGTAGTTTCTTTTTGTATTCCGTTCAGAATGTCTAACGTAATCCGTGACAGAGAAAGGTTGCAGTTGGCTTACTCCATCCTGGCTGCAAGTCTGGTTTTGTTTCCCATTTTCTCAAAAATAAACGAAAACTACTCACTGAATAAATAAAGGAGGAAAGACCTGCTTATGTACCAAAACCTTCTGGATCTGTGCTTGAACTCTTTTCACGTTGTGTCCTTATTCTCTCCCTTTTATTTATTTATTTGTTTGTTTATTTATATATTTTATTGGCAGTTCACCCGATGACTCCCTTTAAGGTAGCCCTGAAAAGCGTAAGCGCCACAAATGCCATCCTGACCTGGACGGTACATCCCCTGAGGAATAATTTCACGCTTTTGTGTCAGGTGGAGCTCCACAGCGAAGGACGAGTGGTACAAGTAAGGACTCTGCTTACTACTCTGTTTTCAGAAACCCCTCTGTGCCCAGGTCAGAGAGAGACCGAGGAGGAGAGTCTCTCTACACTCTTACTCTCTGTGGGTGCCAGTGGTGTGGGTGGTAAGGGTTGGAAAGGGTCCATGAAATTCATCGTAGACTCTCTGAAGGGGGCCGTAGAGGTTTTCCTTCCCAAAGAAGCAGTCTCAGGCCAGCTCAGGCTGTGACTGCTGGGGTTGGCTTTGCAGAGGAGAACGCTTGCCCACCGGTCTTTGTCTTTCCTATCAAGCAGCACAATGTTTCCACCTGGGGGAACGGTCAGTACTCCTTCCGCGGCCTGGCCCCCGCCACAGAGTACACGGCCCGAGTGCGCTGCGCCGCAGCCCAGCACTTCTGGAAATGGAGCAAGTGGGCCAACCAGGAGGAGTTCAGCACTCCCCAAGCTGGTACGTCCCAACCCCGGGCGGTCCACGCAGGGATCCACACTGACTGGTGGGAGGTGGCTGTCTTCTCTGAGAGCTCTTGTTCGTACCAAACGCTAAGGGGAAAATACCACAAAAGAGGCGGGTGCTATCTTCAAAAAGAAAAAGAAGCCGGCCCTCGATGGTTTGGCTCAGTGGATAGAGTGTCGGCCTGTGGACTGACGGGGCCCACGTTTGATTCCGGTCCAGGGCACATGCCCAGGTTGTGGGCTTGATCCCCAGTGGGGCCCATGTAGGAGGCAGCCGATCAATGATTCTCTCTCATCATTGATGTTTTCTATCTCTCTTTCCCTCTCCCATCCTCTCTGAAGTCAATAAAAACATATTTTAAAAAAGAACAAAAGATAAAGAAGCTGAATTAACTGGCTAATGAGATCTGAGTGGGAAGACATCCACTTGGAACATTTGTTGATGTTATTTCTACGCTCTGCTTTCTCTCTCATCTTTGTTTGCGCCAAAGTGGCTTCTCGGCTCCTGGCATGGCTGGGTTCCCGCTGGACTGGGGACAGTGTTAATTAGTAGGGACTTTCAACTCAGGACCAGCAAACACGGCGTCCGGGCCAAGGAGAGCACTGGTCTCAGGCCAAATAACTCTAGGCCAAGTTTGGAAATATAATGAAACTTGATTATGATTGATGAGTCATTGGTTCAGCCACAGCAAGCAGAGCCCCCTCTGTCATGCCCTCAGGGGCCGTTTCCTCAATATGCAAGATCAGAGAGTTTTTCTCCCAAATGACTATGTGTCAGAGCTCAAATAGGCCTCAGCTGACTGGAGGGCCCAGCCCTACTTCAAGGTAATGAAGTACTACCATTGCCCAGTTTACTGAGGAAGCAACTTGTGCCCACAGAGCAGAGACTTGCCTAGTTTTTAAAGTTAATGAATGGCTGAGAAATAATAGTAGTAATAATAATAACAATCCTATATAATAATATGCAAATTGTCCCCCCAGGAGTTCGACCGCTGGTTATAACATGCACTGACCACCAGTGGGTGGCACAGAATGAAGGAAGGCGGCCGGCAGCTGGCAGCTAGAGAAAGGAAGGTCTCAAATGGCCCCGATTGTCAGCCAGGCCTAGGGACCCTACCTGTGCACAAGTTTCATGCACTGGGCTTCTAATAATAATAATAATAATAATAATAGTAATAGTAATAATAATAATGGCTGACATTTATTGAGTATGTAATATGTGCCAGGCACAGCTCAAAGCTCTATCAGTGTTTTATTCTCTTAGCCCTCACAACCTGCAGTCGGCACTATTGCTGTCCTTACCGTATAGATGTGGACACTGAGGTTCAGAATGTAATGAACTGGCCTGTCCAGCGGCTGGGCTGTGGCTGCACCTCACAGCCAGGCAGGCCAACTGCAGAGCCTGCCCGCGCCCGGAGCCGGATTCCACAAGTTCTGTCTCCTGCTATTGTTACTGCAACCTTGAGACCTGGCTATTTTAGGGCCAGAGGAAGGGTTGCATGTACTTATTTTAGTCCATCTTATTGTTCATGTTTGAAGGCAGGCAGAGCTGTTTCTGTTTCACCTGAGGAGACTAAGTTTACAGCAGTGACTCTAATTGAGGGGGGGGGGGGGGGGGCACACTGCCTGCGTCAGAATCTATGCACAGGGCTGGCCATTGGTCACACTCAGCAGGCCCCTCGTCTTGTCTGGGGTTCTGCCCATTCCCACACTCCCTGGGACCCCAATAATTTCCCTACGTGTGTAGATTTCTCAAGGGTCCCCCTGCTGCAGAAAGCCCTGAGAATAATATGGCATATTCCTCCATTGTATTTTATTAAAGAATGTCTACTTGAATTAGGTGCTTTTTTTGGCTTGTTTTTTGCAAATTTATTCCAACATTATAATTAAACAAGTGCAAAATGAAAATGGAAAAAAAAAAAGTTTTTACTAAATTGTGTTTATTTTAGATTATCATCTAATAAACCTGAAAATACTAACTTAGCTTTTGATGATGACAAGGAATTAGATAAAACTACTGATGGCAAATTCATGCTTTGTTTTTTAACCTCTGAGAGCATGTTGGAGAATGCTGGAAAGCTTGAGCTTGTGTGCATTATAATCACACCTCAGCATAATCACAAATTATGTTGACATATGTGGAGTGCTATTAACTGTGCTGCCATGGTCTCTTCTTCTTTTTTAAAAAATATATTTTAATTTTTTACAGAGAGGAAGGGAGAGGGATAGAGAGCTAGAAATATCGATGAGAGAGAAACATCAACCAGCTGCCTCCTGCACAACCCCTACTGGGGATGTGCCCTTGACCAGAACCGAACCTGGGACTCTTCAGTCCGCAGGCCAATGCTCTATCCACTGAGCCAAACCGGTTTCGGCCATGGTCTCTACTTTTAAACACTAGTTTATGAACCAGCTAAGATTTTGCATTGAACTTGGGCCCCCCGTTGGGCCTGAGTATTTGATTTTGATTTAACGTTGGCTTCTCCAGTGGCTTCCTTAGCAAATTAAAACCGGCTTCAGTGGAGCCCAGCCGGTGTGGGAATTTACCTTCATAAGCCCCTAGACTAGGGGTGTCGAACTCAATCAGAGAAGGGGCCAAAATCTAAAATCCAGCCTAAATCGCGGGCCGAATGGTTTACTGAACAGTCATAAACTGTCATTGTGATGGAAACGCAGCGGAGTGCAGTGATGACAGCGCGGTGCGGGCCACATTGCAAGGCCTGGCGGGACGGATTTGGCCCGCGGGCCTTGTGTTTGACACATGTGCCCTAGACTTAGGAGGACAAAATAATCCCAAAATTCTTTGGTGGCTTCCAGAAGCTAAGGCTTGGAGTTCATAAAGGGCTTCCAGTGTGATGTCCTATTCAGATACAGAAGACCTTCTGTTAAGCACCTACTACGTGTGCCTAGTGAAGCATGGACAGGGGGCCGTGGATAAATGGGCAGGAAAGTCACAAAGAGTGAGAAAGGGAAGCCTCCCAGATAGCCGTCGTCATCGGAAGCTGGAATGTACGGTTCTGCACTCGCATTGTGACCCAGGAATTTTCTTGGTTTGTTCCAGCACCCTCCACAGCTCCTGATGTCTGGAGAAGCGTGAGGCCGACGCTGGGATCTTGTAACGTCACTTTATTCTGGAAGGTGAGAGGCAAAGGACCAGCTCTTCTGGGCCCGTCTTTCACGGGACACAAAGCAGACTTGGGTGCAGTCTTCCAATGCAGGGAACTTAGGGGGGTCCGTACCGTGAATGAGGCAGGCCTCGCCCAGTGGGGGAACCCCGCTCCACACCCATGTGGCTAATGCTTGCACTGCTCTGTCCTTGACCTTGACCGCCCACTGCACAGATGACCATTCTCATTGTCAGGACCTGCCTCTCTGTAGCCTCTACTCGGCCCCCTCCAACTTGTGCAGACCCCAGGGCACAGTGTTATCAGACTTTGAATGCCAGGTCCTTGAGTCTCAATGTGGTGGAAATAAGCACTGACCTCAGTCCAAGCTCAAGCGGACAGTTTATGGAAAGAGCTGTGTGCAAGGGAGCCGAGCTCCCCGAGGAAGCTTATGGAGGGCCCTGGGGGAGGGGGCGGTTGGGAGTGAGGTTGAGGTCCATTGTCCCTCAATGCTCATCTGGCAGAGGCTGAGCTCTGGAGTCACAAGATGTTTTCCCTGGTCAGCGGCCCGCCCAGAGGCCTGTAAAGTGATGCTGTGCAAATGTCCCAATTGCCATTTCATTGACAAAGCAACTGTTCTGCAGGCCAGGATGTTAAGAACAGATGTGACTGTGCATTCTTCCCGCTGAAGGTGTGGTTAGGTAATTTCAGGGACGGAATTTCATTGAAAGCATGGAGTCCCGGTCAGGCCTCTGAGGGGGGTTCTTTAGACCAAGTTCAAGTTCAGCATCATGCCGTAAGTGTAACTGGAGAAGCACATTGATCGCCATACTTCAAAGTTACGATGATTTGAGTAGTCACAGCATGTATGTTTAAAATGTATGAGTCAAGCTGAAACACTGTAATATAATACACTCTATGGTGCCCTTTGACCTTGATGAATATGCCCCTGGCCACCCAGAAGGCCAGGTCTGTGTTCGGATCTTTCAGGTCCCCAAGGGTTGATACCAATGTGTGGCCACTCTGAGAGAGCCAGCCACACCCACACCCACCGCTCTCTTCCCACCTCCTCTCTGGCCTCTCTGCCTCAAGCCCTGTGTGCACACATGTGGACATGCCAGTCCACATGTCCACATGCTGTCCACCCGCTCTCAGGTCTAGGGGGCACCATCGGTCCTTGGGAGGGTAGGCTGAGGGGCAGGCCCTGGGAGTGGGCTTGGGACTAGGTGAGCAGGGAATTCTCTGCCACTGGGGAGTCTTCTAGGAGCGGCTGTGGCCCTGGGGAAGGGGTACACAGCTGCAGGGGGTGGGGGGTGAGGACAGAGTTGGGTTCTCTGCCGGGGCTCACCTGGTGAAAGTCTGGGCTTAGGGTTATTTTCTCTGTTAAACTGTAATTTGTTGGTGTGTGTGTGTGTGTGTGTGTGTGTGTGTGTGTGTGTGTGGTGTGTGTGTAGGCATTTGAGGGAGAAAAGGTGAAGAAGTCAGTGTGCAAACTCCTTCCAGAGGGAAGCCCGTTTTGAAACGAGTGTCCATGTTGCAGCCACTGTCCAGGGCGCAGGCCCACGGGAAGATCCAGTTTTACACCGTAGCCACGGAACGCCTGCACACACCCTCCAGCTCCCAGCTCTTTCCCATCCCCGCTCCGGCCAACGGCACAGAACTCAGCCTCGACGGCTGCTCACACCGAATCCGCGTCACGGCCAGCAACGGGGCAGGCACGTCCCCCGCGTCTGTGATGGTCATCGCCGGGGACCTGGGGGACCCCTGGAACCCCGGGAACCGTGAGTGGTGCTTTGTTGCCTTGTATCCTCTGGGAGCACGTTGGGGATGTCACGGGTAGAGATGGGCGAGTCGGAAAAACAGTCACTTGGGGCGACAGAACGTCCAGCGACCACAGCATTGCCGTTCCCCTTTGGTCCGGGCGTGGCCGTGGGCTCCCAGGACAGTCCTCCTCTGTGGGGAGAACTTCAGCCATGGCTCGGGCCATTTCTGCCCTGGCGACTCTTCAGCAAACTGGGGAAATCATCCCAGATTTACTCAAATAAATACACCACCAACCAACAGTCCTAACGGAGAGGGGGAGGTGGTGTACACGTGGCTCGCGGCTTATGAAGGATGGGTTGCAGGTATGATGTTATGAACTATGTTGTCAGTCTTTGCCGCCTGTAAAGAGCCCAGGAACATTCCAGAGACAGGAAGAGCCAGGATCATATCTCCAGAGTAACCGTGGGGACTGGCTCCTCCCCTCCCCCCACCCTTCCCCCGTGAAAGGAGAAGGTGGGAACAACCCTACATGTAAAATCAGTGATGACACCGATTTCCCTCTCGGGAGAGCTGGGAATGGGGGTTGGTGCACTGACCCCCCGGGAACACTCTGTGTGTGATGCATGCTTGAACGAACATTATACAGTTGACATCCGGGGTCACCCGTGAACCTGGCAACCCTGCCACTACTATGACACCCTCAGACCCTGCTTACGGGGTGAGGTCAGGTGGTATTAATGTATCATTCAATTGGGCTTAAATTGGGGTTACGTGGGCTAGATTAGAGGGTGGTGGTGTTTCGTTTTGTTTTAAGAACTGTGCATTACATCAAGAAAGAGGACATAGGATCATGGCGCAGAAGAAAACCAAGGAGTTATTTAACATAAGCTTTGCCTGCCAAGACCAGCACTTAGCAGAGGAAATGACTGTCTACAACATTCTGTTGGCATCAGGCCCAGGACAGGAAAAGCAGGCATTCCATTCCGCTGGGCAGGGGAGGCGAAAGAAAAGGAAGGTGGCCTCGCACGAGGCCCAGCACAGACACTGCTGGGTGCTGCTGTCTGTCTTGGGGTTCCCACCATTCCTTCCTTCCCCGTGCTCCAGCCTTCAGACCCTCCCCGCCCTCCCTCCATGGGGCTCTCTCCAGCTCCCCTGTGTTCGCATTCTTGTCACTGAGTGGGTAAAGACACAGGCGGACTCTGAGACAGACCAAGGAGGTGACCCCCGTGTCCGCCTCTCCCTCCCCTCCTCAAACAGTCTTGTAATTGTAAAGAAGCAGCTTGATAAGAGCTGTGATTCCAAATCCCGGGGGAGATCTCAGGGTGAAGGAGTGACGTGAAAAATGCTGCTTGCGTGGGAGACACGTTGTGTCTTTGCTGAAGGGAGAGGGAAGCCCTGTCGGCGGGGTACAGGCAAGGCCCTTTGCCTTGTGCCAGGGCTGCAGGGTCCTTTGGGCGCCCCGGCTGGGTAGTCACACGGTGCCCTGGCAAAGTTAGCAGCACCATGCTTTCCCATAATGCTCAGCGGTAGGTAGGATAGTCAGATGAAATACAGGACGCCTGGAGAAACGGGAACTGCAGGCAAACAGAGTACATGTTGAATGTTCGTCTGCACCATGCAGTATGTGGTCCACAGGGGTTGAGTTTCTGGGCAGCTGCCGGCGGGCTCACTCTTTGATGGGGAACTGGTCCTGTCGGATGGAAGCTGAGACCACTGCCTGGGAACAGGGCAGGCTGTGCAGTCCACCCTGGGGAATGAGGGCATTCCCACCCGCAGGATGCAGGGCGATCCTGCTTTAAGTCGATAGGACTGGTAGTCCATTAGGACCATGTTACCTTTTCCCCAATTGTCAGACCTCACAAAGACTACCGGGCACATAAACTATGTTGAGGTGACAGCCTTGGCCATGAGGAGTGTGCACATCCTTGCGTAGCTCTACTTAATACATATCTCAATGGTCTTTTCTCTTTCTGTCCTCACTGCAATTCCCACCCCTCGCATCTCAGAAACAGCGGAGGTGAAAGAAGAAAGAGCTCAAGGCACAGGGGACGGAGTCTCCATGTCCTGGAAGCCGCCACCTGGCGATGTCCTTGGCTACGTGGTGGAATGGTGTGACGGCCCCCGGGAGTCGCCCTGCGATCTCCGGTGGGAAAGCCTGGGCCCCAATGCCACCAGCACCGTCATCAAGTCAGGTGAGAACCTTCCACGTCACCACGCTGTCCCACCCGCCTTGCAGCGCGATCGGCGAGGATGTCTGGACCATCTCGAAGAAGAGAGCGTTCACAAACCAAAGAAGTGTGTGGCTTTGGGAGACATTTAGGACAGTGATTGGCATCGACCATCTCCCCCTTCAACTTTAGTGGAACATACAGAACTTGCCTCCCACATTGGACTTGTAATTTTAAGACTCCTTTCTTAGCAAAATCAATAGGTTTGTGGCTTGAGCAGGGGTTGGTAGCGCCATCTGCTGGACTCGAGGTGAAAATGTGGGAAATGTCTGGGTGCAGAGTGTAATAGAGGCCAGGAGGGCATTCATCAGCCCTTGGGGAATGAGGAGGTGAGGTTCCCCTTGGCTAGAGAATGTAAGTGGCAAGGTGGGCACTGCAGGTGGATTGCAGTGTGGGGGGAAAGCGAGGAGGGGGACGCAGAGCCTTCCAGACACGGCTCTCCTGGGCAGAGAGAAGGCACGTCCCTGGTGGGCTTTGCAGTCACAGGAGGGCTGGTGGCGGCTCTCTGTCTGGTCGAATTCTGCATGGTGCCATGCACACATGTCATGCACACGTGTGTGAGAGCTCTTCCTCCAGGCCTGATGCAGAGAACAGGCCCACGGGCTTGTCTGGAGACCATGAGGGACTCCGAGGCCAGTGGGGGGAGGGCAGGCAATGGGACGAAGGGCAGCATCCCCGAGGAGACTACTAAGGGGACAACTTCCGCTTTCCTTCTCCTTTTTAGCAGGAAAGAGAAGGTCACTCTGCACTGTTAGTGAAAATCTGTTGATTTTTCTTCTCCAGATGCTTTCCGACCAGGGGTCAAATACAACTTCAGGATCTATGGGATTTCTCCGGAAAGGATGGCCTATTTGCTGGAGAGGAAGACAGGATACTCCCAGGAACTAGGTGAGCGGAAAGCTTGTGATGTGCCCAGGGCAGGCTTGATCAGAACAATCCAGAGGCTCAGCTTGGGGTGTAGGAAGATTCCAACACCGTGCCTAAGTTCAGTGTCTTCTTCACTGTGGTCATTGCATTCCTAACAGATTATTTTAAAATCATACTAACATGAGACACTTTCACTGAACACAATGTACAAATGCTTTGCAAAAAAAAGGGCAAAGCCATTGCTCATTTTCCCAGAGTTCCTATTTCTTTGCACAGAGAGACTGTTTGCAGTTAACATGGCGCCTGCCCTGTGCAGGTGGACTTATGTCACTGAAAGGACCACAGCCAACCCCAGAGGCTGCGTGGGGGGGGGGGGGGGAGGACCTGAGGGGTCTCACCTTTTTCTCTAGAAGACTCGTGCCCTGGCATCATTCGGGAGAGCTGGGAAGAGTCTGAGCACCTTCTTGTTGAAGCCTCCCCTTTCCCAGATGTAGAAACAGGTGCCCAGAGAAACGCAACACAAGGCCACACAGCAAAAAGAGAATAAGGCCTTTTTAGGAAACCGTCTGTTCCCGAATTCTAGATGCAGCTGCCCTGGCACAGCATGGTTTAGAACTGCGTGGGTCTGCTTACATGAGGGTTGTTTTTTTCCCCCAATAAATACACAGTCAGGCCTCCACATCCCTGGGCTTGCCATCACAGATTCCCAACTTAATATTGGAAAATAGGGTTTCCGATCCGTCTTTGGTTGAACCCACAGACATGGAGTGCCAACCATACGCACGGTTCTACACCACACACCGCGCTGTATAAGGGGCTTGAGCCTCCTCCGAGGATGTTATCTGCGGGGGTCCTGGGACACTTAGAGAATATTTCCCAATCCTGACTCTTCTTACCCCGCTTCCTTCCCAGCTCCTGCGGACAACCCTCGCGTGACCGTGAACAACCTGACCTCCCACTCCTTCACCCTGAGTTGGGAGGATTACGCCGCCGACGCCCAGCCTGGCTTCATCCGAGGCTACCGCGTCCACCTGCGATCCCAGGCGGAGCAGTGCCTCCCGGGCTTCACGAAGGCGCTCCTCCCAGGTGACATGCGTGTTCGTCTACCCTGGTAACATGTCACTGTTTAAAATCACGGGTCAGGCTGCCATCTGACGGTGTCTGTTCTTGCAGGTCATGTTCTTAAGCACGTTCAGAGGTGGACAGGATGATGGGGGCCAATATTTTAACTTAAAAACCACGTGGCCTGATATTTTTAGAAGCACTCGAAGTCCCGCCATCTCCTTAAGAAATCCTGCCACGAAGGAAACTTCCTTGCTAACCCCCTTTCCTTTTGCCCTTTGACCTTGTTAAAGGTTATTTAGTGTTTTGGTTTTTTTTTTTAATTATTTTTTCAATTACAGTTGGCATTCAGTATCTATATATAAACGCCTAAGGAACTGAACAACTGAATGATGGGTTGACTGACTGTTTGCTATGATGTGCACTACCACCGGGGGCAGATGCTCAATGCAGGAGCTGCCCTGAGGTGGTCAGTGCACTCCCACAGCAGGAGCACTGCTCAGCTGACCGATGGGTGCCAGATGCAGGGCTCACGGCTGGCTGCTGCAGCCCGGAGACCACAGGGGAGTGACAGTGAACTTACTGAGTGGTGGCGGACGCGGGCACAGTGGGTGTGGGATGAGTGGGAGCAGCCCAGTGCCCGGCCTAGGCTCGGGCTCCTCCCCAGCCACCTGCAGCTTCGTGCACTACTACATGTGTGTGTAAGTCTCTGGCAAGGGCTTGGCACCTGTTACAGAACTGCTCTCCCCTGACCACCAGCATCTCTTGCCTCGTGGATGCTTGGCCTTCCTTATCAACTCCTGAAAATGTCCCTGCGTGGTGAAGTTATGAAAATGTTCACAGTGCTATGTCAACAGGAGTGTTAGTGCCAGCTCTCTCACACGCTCCATGTTTTTCACACCACAGATAACACCGCATGCTGCAAACATGACATCGACAACCCAGAGCAAAAGACGTTTCTGGTGAAGAACCTGCAGCCAGAGTCCTTCTACGAGTTCCTGGTCACTCCGCACACGAGGGCCGGCGAGGGCCCTGCCCAGGCCTTCACCAATGTCATCACCACCCGTGACCAGCACCGTGAGTGTCCCTGGGCAAGGCCGCTGCCTCCCCGAGCGCGGGAACCGCCCCAGCACACACACGCCCGGCTCTGTCCGGACCCGGAGCTCTCTGTCTCTGGACCAGACTGTTTCGCAGAAAACGTTCCAGAATTGCCCCACAGAAACCGCTGAGTGGGCTGATCAGACTGATCGTGGCCTGACCTGCTCCTGCCTCTCTCCTGCCCCCGGCGCTGCTCTGGCGCTCAGGCCTGCCAGTTTGAAAGCCGCAGATGGCTCAGTGCTGGCTGAGGGGCAGCGCACAAGTCCATGGGGGGAAGGCGGTGGTGTGTTCCCCGCGCTGGGCTCAAGGCAGGCTGGCCTTTGAGCTGGTCTCACCTGGTGGTGAGCTAATTGCTTTCCTGGACTGGCCTCTCCGGGGGCGATGAGAGGCAGGTGTGATGAGTGGCAGGTGCAGTTGGGCAAGAAGTATGTGCTCCCAAACGGGTGTTTGCAGATTTGGTGGGAAGAGAGTGAGATAAAGAGATCCATATTTTCAGCCCTGGCTGGTTTGGCTCAGTAAGTAGAGCGTCAGCCTGTGGACCACGGGGTCCTGGGTTCAATTCTGGTCAAGGGCACGTACCTTGGTTACAGGCTCTTCCTGGCCCAGGCTCTAGTCAGGACTCCTGTAGGAGGCAACTAATCAATGTATTTCTTACATCGATGTTTCTCTCTGCCTTTTTCTCTCTCTCCCATTCTCTCCCCCCCCAAAAAAAAAAAATCAATGGAAAAATGTCCTTGAGTGAGGATTAAAAAAAAAGAGAGAGAGGGAGGGATCCATATTTTCAAAATGCTTTGGCCCAAAAGATGAAGAACGAAGGAAGCAGAATGGTAGGAGCCAATGAATGGTAAATAGGGGTCCCCTGGCAAAGCCTAGCCTGCACCCACCAGGAAGGGGGGGGGCAGACGGATGGAGGAAGGAGAAAGCAGGTGCAGCAGGGGGCACAGAGGTCCAGGCGGGAGGTGTTTCTGGAGAAACTCCTCCAGGAAAGACAAATGGGCCGAGATGCCTGCCTGGCATGACCAGCTGTCCCAGGTGCCAGGACCCTTTGCTGAAGGTGGGGCTATGGGACAGGATGGGCTCCTCGGGTGGAAGTGCTGCCTGCGGGCCCTGACGGGTGATGGGGACACTTGACTGCAGGGGCAGCTTGGAGCATTCACTGCCGCCACGAAACATGGCCCATGTGTCTACAGGACACGGGAACACGGCCATTGCCTCCAAGTCAGATCATGGAACATGGCCCAAGTGTCTAAGGCAGGTCACAGGACCATGGCCCACGTCTCTAAGCCAGATCATGGAACATGGCCCAAGAGTCTAAGGCAGGTCATGGAACATGGCCCATGTGTCTAAGGCAGATCACAGGACCATGGCCCACGTTTCTAAGCCAGATGCAGAGTTTAGTCAGTGAGGCACACTCCTCTTGCCATTTGGAGTTAATTTCTAATTTATTTTCAGGCTATTTTTCTTCTCTCTCTGGTATTTACTTGGCCGGTAGAAGTGTGTGTGTACACACCCATATATGACATATATAACTCTTTCTATCTCAAGTGTACTTTCTGCTTTCACTAATCTCCCTTCTTTGGCTACACCTCTTTAGCCTTGGCTGTGACAACTTATTAAATTGATTATTCTTGGAAAGCAAATAAGTTGCTGCCAAGTTGCAGCAACGAGAGTGCCATTCTGCCGTCACAAGAGTGGCATGGATGCCTCCCAGATGCCCTGCTGAGTGACAAAGCTCAGGCCTGCCCCGCCTGTCTGATTCCACGCAGAGCACAGAGGCACGTGTGTTGTGCTACTGAAGACAAGGCAGCGGTCCCCTGGGAGGGAGGGGCTGTGTGGGGACACCAGGGAGCTTTCTGGGAGCTGGTAATGTTCCTTTTCTTCTTTGGGGTACTGGTCACCGGGGTGTGTTCAGTTTGTGGAAATTCATCCAGTGAAAAGTCTAGCAAACCAGTCTGAGGTTTGGACACTGCTATGGTCAGGTCCCCAGGCTTGCTCTCAGTTACATTTAAAAAGTCCGTGATTTAACCCAATTCTGAGCCAGCTGGAGTCGCCAAAGGGGAACAAGGTGCTTTTAGTGGTGAGAAATAATAAACACATAAAGTTACTCTCAACCTTAAATGTATCTTTTTTTTTTTTCTTTGAGGAGGGAAAATACTCATTTAAAATATCGCCTTCTTTCTCTTTCAGCCCGTGTTCTGATCCGCATCCTCCTCCCCATGGTTTTCCCCCTCCTGTTCCTCACCATCCTGTGCTACGTGAAGAGTCAGTGGTATGTGTGTAGGGGGGGTGATCCAGGAAGAGAGTCAGGGAAAACTCTGGAAAGAAGTCTGAGAAACAGAAACCACACCAATAATATGAGGAATAGGCTGGAAAGGAAAAGGACAGAGGAGGCTATGAGGAAAGTTGAAAAAATGTTCAACATTTTGCTTTTAGGGTCAATATACAATATAAAGGAAACAATAACCATTTAAAAGGTGAAAGTCTTGTTCAATAACAGCAGCTAATGTTTGTATGTCACTCACTATGCAGTTAGCCGTGCTCTAAGTCAAGCATGTCAAACTTGCGGCCCACGGGCCATATGCAGCCCACAACAAATATTTTTATGGGCCAGCCAATACAACAGTATGTAAGAGACATTTTAATAACTTAATTTTTACAGTATCCTATTATACATAATCTATGTATATGGCTAAGTTGCCTGTCTGTTTATCCAATTGTCCGACCGACTGACCGGCCAGTACATATGACATATGACTGCACTAGCAATTTAGAAATAAATGTTGACTCACACATGCACAATACATATAAAACTCTAGCTGGTGCCAATTGCATATGTGTTGTTGTTGTTGTTGTTGTTTTTAACATATTTTATTGATTTCTTACAGAGAGGAAGGGAGAGGGAGAGAGTTAGAAACATCAATGAGAGAGAGATATCGGTCAGCTGCCTCCTGTACAGCCCCTACTGGGGATGTGCCTGCAACCAAGGTACATGCCCTTGACTAGAATCGAACCTGGGGCCCTTCAGTCTGCAGGCCCATGCTCTATCCACTGAGCCAAACTGGTTAGGGCTGCCCACGTGTGTTTGGATCTGTCATTGTCAATCATGAATTTGGTTGATTCTGTTGACATTCTGAAGCTGAAAGAAAGTGGCAACATCGACAGAATATGTCTGAAGACCAACTATTGGCATAACTGTCCCCATCTGATACTGGCCTCCCATTTAAATTAATTCAAAGACAGTTTCCCGTGATGCTAGCATTTACAATGACTATTAATAAGTCACAAGGACAAACTCTAGACCATCGTACATCATGACCGCCAGTGGTCCATGGACCACAGGGTGCGACTGCTCCTCTAGAGAGAGTAGGAATAGTCCTACCTGGACCCGTTTTCAGACATGGTCAGCTATATGCTGTTTTCCATTGAGTTCGAAGAGTGTATGATGTTAAAGTCATAAATACTTAACCACAAGGGAAATCAGTCAAGCATTCTGAAAGTGTTTTTACTCAATGTGTTATTTAGAGAGAATTAGAATGAGTTTAATCAATTTATCAGTCATTGTTTTTATCATTGTTTTTATATCATGTTTTTATGTCATTTTTTATATCATGTCTTTGTTGTTGTTATGTCATGTTGTTTATTAGTCAATTTATATATTATTTTCACATACATTTTACTAATTTTCTTTCATCTCTGACACTTCTACTATAGAGAAAGGGTAAATGGCAATATTAAAATATTTCTTAAAATTGTTTCCCTTTCAATGTATACAAATCCGTGCACTGGGTACTAGTTATTAATAACAAACTACATTTGCTAATGACTGTTTCCTATAATTGTGCTGTATTCATGTCCTTTATGTGCCTTATGGCAGGTGCACCATTGCTCTACACTAATATCAGCAGAGAATATTTTGGCAGCTGATTGCCACATCATTAATCTTGGACTGACCTGTTTAGTGTGAACAACATAAAATATTTTGCTTTCAGAGAACAAGAAAAATAGGTTTATTTGTTTTGTTTTGTTTTTTTAATTTTATTCATTTTCCACAGAGAGGAAGAGAGAGCTAGAAATGTTGATGAGAGAGAAACATCAACCAGCTGCCTCCTGTACACCCCCTACCGGGGATGTGCCCACAACCAACGTACATGCCCTTGACCGGAATCGAACCTGGGACCTTTCAGTCCACAGACCAACGCTCTATCCACTGAGCCAAACTGGTTTCGGTGAAAAATAGGTTTATTTGTGTTACGCTTATTAATTTGTGCAGTTTTTCAGTGTCTGGTAAGTTAATGTTCAAGAAAAAAATATTAATTTTTATAAAATGTTCTAGTATTTTATGTTAACAGTAACCCATTTATTTCAGCCCTTTGTATTCAACATGTCTCTATTGAAATAAACCTGCATTTCTATGAAAATTGAAGCTTTTGTTATTTTACGACCCACACACACTTAAACCTTATTTGTTTGGCCCATGTTTGCCTTTGAGTTTGACATGCTTGACCTAAGTGCTCACACATCACAACTCACTCAGCCTCACTGCCCATCTGTGCACCAGCACTGTCTCCATGGAACTGGCGAGGACGATGAAGGTAGTACACGAGGATTAAGCTGGCCCAAGGTCTCTGTCAGTGAGCCACAGAGCAAGGTTACCACCCAGGAACCTGACTTCAGAGTTCTCACTCCTAACTGTTCGGACACATTCCAGCAAGACTCAGTCTCCTTTGCTCTGCTTTTCTAGGATTAAGGAGACGTGCTTTCCTGACATTCCAGACCCGTACAAGAGCAGCGTCCTGTCCTTACTGAAGCCCAAGGTAACGCTGGGGATGGCATGGACACTCCGGCCTGGGGAACTCCAGCCCCGGCTGGGCTGTAGCACCCGTACTTCCCGGGGCGAAGGGTTGGGGGGGGTGGGGGGGTGATGCCCTGCTACCCTCCAGTGAGCACTGACCAGGGGGGACCAGAACAGCGGCGGCTCCGCCGCCTCCCACAGACGAACGCCCGCATCCCGCTGCCTGTCCATGTTTCCTGCCAGGAGAGCCCCCACCCGTCCATCATGAGTGTCCGTGACTGCGTCCCCGACGCGCTGGAGGTGGTGAACAAGGCGGCCAGGAGGTCGCTGGCAGAAGTGGAGTGCCCGAAGCACGACTACCTTCACCTCCTGCCCACCGGGAGCTCCGCGGGCCCGGGCCCCGGCATCTGCTTCGAGAACCTGACCTACAACCAGGCAGCCCCCGGCGCTGGGCCCTGTGGCCCCTCTCCGGGGCAGGGAGGCCTGCTGGCCGCACCTGGGGGTTTGCTGAGGTCCCCGAGCTATGTGAACTCCCCGGGGGGACCCCCAGCCGAAGAGGCCCCTCTGAATTATGTGTCCCAGGTGGCTCCCCCGACGTCTGGACACGAGGACAGCCCCCCAACACCCCTCCTGGAGCTCGCACCCCGCTCCGAGTACAGAACTCAAATGGCCGTGCCCCCGGGCCTTGCCTCGCCCTCCCCGGAGGAGAAGAGCCATCTCTGCGCCGTGAGCCTTCCGGACGCAGGCGGACACGGCCGCTAGCCGTCCGTCCCGGCCTCACCGGCACGCTGCTTCCCACGCCAGAGAAGCGTGGCCTGCCCCCCATCGCCAGGCCCCGTGGGCAGACCAGTGGGCAGACAGACCACTGCCATGGCGCCGGGTTTCCAAGCTCAGAGGCCACGAGGCTTCCTCCCCCCTCCAGCAGGCTTGCTGTGGGAACGCCCGCATCCCGCCTGGTGGGCGCGGGCAGCGGCTTACCTGGCAGCTGCGTGGCCCAGGCTCGCCCTGTGGCCGCGCCCTGGCCCCCCGCGCAGGGCAGACCCCTCCTCGCAGTCCTGGGCAGCGTGGCTGCGGTCCTGGGATCCTGCCTTTAATGAGAAAGTTACAGAAGTTCCGCCCCCACGTGCCCTCACTTAAGGGAGGAGGAAGCAGACTGAGTCTTTAATTGGAAAGGCCGCAGAGGTTTCTTTCCTAGAGCCAGTGTTTACCAAAGTCCGTGTTTCCTTAGTGTAGGCGGGCAGTGAAGATGTCACAGGTGTCTGAGACCGGCCCAGCGTGGCCTTGTCTGGCAGTGACAACAACTGGCCGTGCATGGGCACAGTGAAACCCTCCCGGGGGCACAGGGAGACCCTCCCGGGGGCACAGTGAGAGGGGGCAGTGAGACCCTCCCGGGGGCACAGGGAGACCCTTTCGGGGGCACAGTGAGACCCTTCCGGGGGCACAGGGAGACCCTCCCGGGGGCACAGGGAGACCCTCCCGGGGGCACAGTGAGAATCCTCCCGGGGGCACAGTGAGAGGGGGCAGTGAGACCCTCCCGGGGGCACAGGGAGACCCTCCGGGGGGCACAGTGAGAGGGGGCAGTGAGACCCTCTCGGGGCACAGGGAGACCCTCCCGGGGCACAGGGAGACCCTCCCGGAGGCACAGAGAGACCCTCCCGGGGCACAGGGAGACCCTCCCGGGGGCACAGGGAGACCCTCCCGGGGGCACAGGGAGACCCTCCCGAAGGCACAGAGAGACCCTCCCGGGGCACAGGGAGACCCTCCCGGGGGCACAGGCCCTGGCTAACAGCTGAGACAGGGCACACATCGGTAAGACCCCGCACCTGTCCTCTCACCACCGTCAGGGACTGGCAGGGGCTCCTGGTGTCAGGATCTCAGCACGCCCACGTCGCGGACAATGGCCTGCCACCGGGGCTTGTGGATGACTACCTCAGGGAGGGGAAAGCTAGCCATTGAGCAGTTCTGTTTCCTTGCCCTGGCTCCGCTTTTCTTTTAAGAACTGCCAGGTGTGTGGCCTGTTCCTTTAGCATCCTTTGGCCTGATCAGCAGGGGGTCAGGGCCACGGGCCCCGCCCTCTCATCTCCCTATTGTCTGCATTAGTAAGGGGAGCGGCACGCTGGGCCCCGGAGGCAGAGCCAGCTCCTGGAGGCTCAGCAGCCCCTCTCCTTGAGCCTGTGTGTGCGCAGCAGCATGCGGGTGCTCCGAGCTCCAGCTCCTTCCTCTGCCTCCTGCCTGCCAGCCGCAATGTTGACTGGTCACGTTTCTAAACAAGCACACCTGGGGCTGCCTCTGGTACCCCAGGAGGTCGCTGGCAGAAGTGGAGCGCTCCACTCCGCAAGGGGGAGGAGAGGACCCACCTGGAGCCCGGGGGCTGTCAGCTGGCCGAGGCGCCTGCACACACCAGGGCTTCTGCGCGGCTCCGCAGCAGGCCCCTCGCATGTGGCTAAGCCCTTTCCTAACGCCCTACCAACAAGCACCTCCGTTAGCAATGTCGAGAGGACTTCGGGTTCAGTATTGTCATCGTTTACTCTCGTGTTCCCCTGTCATACGTGATTGTACAAGTCCACAGAAATGTCAGGGACAGTGACGACTGACTTGCAAACTGTGTCTTTCCTAGAGAGTTTCTTAAGAAATAATGCATGACCTGGAAGTCGTTTCGTTGTAACAAGCTCTCATTAAAGGATTTCACCACTGTGTTAGTCAATGAAATAGAAATCTAACGACCAGTCTAGCTCATAAACCACCCAGGAGCTTATGTGCATGCCCGGATGCCACTCTGGCCCTCTGGCAGGAGGCCTGGCGTCTGTCCGTCCACCAGGCATGCATTCAGATGCACAACGCAGCTTTGAGACTCCCTGGCCTGTCAAATGAAGGCAACTTTCTGAACCATAACAACACACCTATAGCAAATGCTAGGCTAATAACAACCACTGGCTTACAGTTTCACTGTAACTACAGCTCTGGCTATAAACATTCCTCTCCCATGTTCATGACCAAATCTCCTGGGTTGCAGACCATTATGGCGAGGACCAGAAGGCCATGACTGGGACCCATACTGGAAGCCAGTGCCTATTCCTTAACTGGAGTCCAATTAACCAGGTTAGTCCTGAGCGCCATTTCATCATCCCGTGGTCCCACCCTTGCCCCAATCCCACCTGGGCTAATAGCACCCCCTGGGGACCACACCATGCCTGAGCACCCAGACCTACATCCAGGTCCCAATCCATCATGGCAGGGCCAAGTAGGCACTCCTGGGGCCCAGGCCACAAACTGGAACACAGAGTTGTATCAGGGGACAAGATCTCTATGCCGAACAACTATTCCACAATCCAGATGCTCAGGTGAGGTACCAGACCGCTGGGAGGCTCAGACTTTCCTCCGGGCCATAACTGTCCTCAGAGGACCCAGACCTCCACCTGGGGCTCACACCTACTTCTGGGACCCAGAGTATCAAGGCGAGGCCTCACACACAGAATCCAGACTGTATCCCGGGTGTACTTTTCAATTTGTAACCCAGACCACCCTTTCCATAACCCAGAGGTCTGGGTGAGGTACCAGACCGCGCCCAGGGGCCCAGAAGTCCCTCCCTCACCCCAAAGGCCCTCCCAGGACCCAGAACCCCGTTGGCCTAACTCCTGATCGCAGTCCTTTAAGGCGAGGACCAGAAGGCCATTTCTGGGAACCATATTGGCAGCCAGTGCCTATCCCTTAATTGGAGTCCAATTAACCAGGTTAGTCCTGACCACCATTTCATCATCCTGAGGTCCTGTCCTGCCCCAAACCTCCCACCTGGGCCCATGGTGCCCCCTGGGGCTCACACCTACATCCAGGTCCCAATCCATCATGGCAGGGCCAAGTAGGCACTCCTGGGGCCCAGGCCACAAACTGGAACACAGAGCTGTATCAGGGGACAAGATCTCTATGCCGAACATGAACAACTATTCCTTAACCAAGATGTTCAGTGAGGTACTAGACAGTACCGGGTCTCAGACTTCCCTCCGGGCCCGAACTGTCTTCAGAGGACCAAGACCTCCACCTGTGGCTCACACTTGGCATCAGGACCCAGACTGTCATGGCAGGGCGGAGAAGATTATCCCCGTGCCCAGGCCTCAAACACAGAATCCAGACTGCATCCTGGATGTAATCTTCAATTTGTAACCCAGACTACCATTTCTGTAACCCAGATGTCCAGGTGAGGTACCAGGTACATATTTCAAATCAACACTGTTTTAAAATTTCAAACAAAACACAAGTTTAAGAATTTTAAGTACATTTTATTAAGAATGTATCCCTTTGATAAGATTATGCTTCAGGAGGCTTTTAATGCCCTTGACATAAACTGTACACATTATACAAAAACAAGAAAACCACAAAAAAAAAAAAAAAAAATCAAGGTGAGCAAAACCACTTATTTAAATTATACACAACTCAATGAAATATTCTTACGGAAAATATATAAATACTTTTTCTTTCTATGTTACAGTTATACAATATAAATCATATTTCAATGTCTGTTCAGTGACCTACAAACACCAGAACCTCCAAATATGTAGCAGCGTATTACTAAATTAAAAAAATTAGAAGAAAGTCCATGTGGTCAGGGAGCATTAATCTGAGATTTTTTTCACAATCCCTTACCACTTTTCAAAGCTAATTTACACCATTTGTTTTACAATGCAGCGTCAGAGTTTCTGACAGGCCAGTACTGGAACAGTTTCCAACTATTATCTATGAAAATTTTTTATCTCCCCCCAACTCTGCCCCCAAACTTTGCATTTTGTGCTAAATCAACCATTTTAGTGGCAAAATTACAAGGTATACTTTTTTTTGGCATAAATTATATTTTAAAATTAAATATTTTATTTTTAAAAAATCAAACAAAATGTGCAATTTATGCATGCTGTGGCATAGCTATTCACCTACGTTACAAAAACACTCCAGAGGGGGGGAATCTGCATTCTGTGTGCGTCATACAAACCTACCACGAATGAAACACACTCTGGGCACCTGGGACTGAGAGAAATCAATCGTCTCCTAGAAAGGTTCAGATTCCCATGTCTCAAACGCTACTGCTGCTTTCACTGGCTTGCTTTCATCACGAAACCCTCAATGAAGGACTGCTGTAATAATGAATTTCCTGAATGGCAGACAAGGGAGACCTTTCCCAATTTACAGTTTGGAAAATCTGAAATGTTTGTTCTTGTAAAACTCTGGCAAGTAACTCTGCCTTTTCTTTTCTGCCATGTTTTAAAGGGCTGTGAATCTGAGATGAAACTGGAAGCACAGGACAAAGGGAAAACCTTACTCCCAAAGGACCCTTTTCCAAGGTGGTTTACACAGCTCATCTCATACAAAATCAGCACCTCACTCTGACCATGCAAAAATACTTGCAGTTATAATTTGGATGACAATTTGGTTTTTATTGCTTAAGCATCTGTGCTTAATGTGGGATCAAAGGCATCCTCTGAATAGAATGAACACTTGTATATAAATAGCAGTAGACAGATCTAAATATGCATGGACATCCCATTGTTGAGCACTCTGCCGTTGTAATATGCCCTGGAAAACTCAGGTTAATTGTTTAGAGCTCTGGATAAAAGAGCTGAAAACTATTAAAGACACCATTTTAAAAGGACTTTCACACACATCAGAGTAACTAGTATGTGCATACCCACCTCCAAAGAACCTTTTTTAATGTCACTGTCTTACAGGATGTCCAAATGCTACCAATCTTCATTAAAAATTCTTTTATCAGGGAGAAGAAACTTTCCCCCTCAAACCTACCTAAGCATAAACAGGAAATAAAAATGTAAGAAATTTTAGATAACATTTAGCTACGAATAGCAATTTCTAATTTCCTTTATTTAGTATGTGAAGCTAAAATCTGTTCTTAAAAAAAATTCAATAAAAAATAATTTACTTTACAATTAGAAATTCAGTTTACAAGCAGCACAACTGTCCAAATTCCTCCAAATTATCAGTAATTACCAATAGTACAGATTTATATGGACTAAGATCAATCCTAAAATCTTGAAAAACTATAGTATTGACATTATTTTGGTATTTTTTAGTCTGGTACTATCTATCATTTATAGATGATTTTCGCAATTACTTATATTACCACTGACCCCATTACTAACCTGTTCTGCTACAATTAATAATTTTTAAACACCTAAGGTAATCACTTGGCACTGCATGTGAACATTTTTCATCATTAATGTCTAGTTTTATACAAACAAGTACTCAAAGAGAACATATTAGACCTGTCAGTGAAACATGGATAAACCATGTAATACCACACATTTAAGTACATTTGTTCCTTAAATTACTGATAACCAAAAAGCTCCGAGTGTCTCCCCAAACTAAGTGCTATAGGCAAATATTAGGATGAATACATACAAGTCTTTCAAAGTAATTATAAAAAACAAAACAGTTCAGACTAACAGTAATGAGACTTCATGTCAGGTCAGATGAGTGAGGTGGGGCCCCGGGAGGGGGATGATGTATGTGACAAAAAAGAATTACCTTCTGAGGGGTTAAACCACAGATTTTATACTCTCTACTAATCCTGAGGTAGTGTTTAAAACGAATGTCTAAAATAGGTTAATCCCATCGTGAAGATCACTGTATTACTGCCTTTGGAGTCTTAACCACTGTCTGGTCTAGTATGGCTAACATCTGGTTCTCTGGAAAGCAGTTTAATCACTCAAGACCAAAGACCAAGGTGACAGGGCAAATTATTGTCAACATTTAAATGAACATTTGAGTTAAGGAAAAGTTAAAGTATGAAAAGGTATGTTGTATCTTCCACTGGATTTGAGAGGAAGTCTGAAGAACCGCTTTTTAACAGACTCAGTCCAGCCCGTGTCTGCTTCATAGCATGTCACTTGCTACACAGTGCACATGAGAACAGTTCGGGAAGTGCAGTCAGAGGTGTTCTAAAGTAAGATGAAATGTTTCATCCCAATGGGAGCTTTCAGTGCCAGTTGGTTAAAAAAAAAAAAAAAAGGATCTCTGTGAGTCTGCTTTCTGGTTCACAGGGTTCTGTACAGAGATCTCAGAGATCAAGCCCATTGTAAAAAGGATCTGTGACATAAGAAAACATTAATCAATGTATTAGGACTATGTCAAAGCTGATGTGTGACTGTAAAAATGGTATACACAAATTAATTAAAAAAGGGTCCTAATTAGTCCAGCTGGAGTTTTTTTCTATTTATATATAGACCTCAAAAAAAAAAAAATCCTTGCATTTACAAGCATTCTACTGATGATTGGCCATGCTATTTTTATATACAAATTTGCATATATGTTTAATTTCTGTTAGACATATACAAATTAAACACACAAACAAAACCTTGTCCTTGTCAACTTAATTTCACAACTGTGACCAAGGCAGTTACTGTACTCATAAACTAACCAATCACTGCATTTAGTTTGTGCAAAACAAGAACACTGATATAAAAATTAAATTACTGCTGCTTTAAAATTTGGTACTTAAGGCTTTTCACTACAATTTTTAATCACAATAACAGTGTCATTAATAATTTTTAAAAGGAAATATGGCTTTTCTTTTCCCATGGAATGTGTAGTAAATTGTAAGCAAACTTAACTTTTCCTTAAAGTATCATTTAATGCTCTCTTTTGCTTTAGGTCTGCATAAATAGTGCTTATTCAAGTTCTTGTTTAAAATGGTAA